AGTGGGGGGGAAGACAAAAACACAGGAAATATGCGAAACTATGGGGAATCCTGTTATTTGTGTGCATTTATTTGTGTGTCCAGGGCCCCTTCAGAGGAGCCCGGTCCTCGAAAGCAGGAGGAGGGGGGGAATCCGGGGCAACCATAGGGGGGGCATAGGCACAGGGTGGACGCAGCGGCCCCCAGTCGCCCAGGGATCCCGATGGTGGTCTGATGGCCTCAACCCGCCCGGGAGGGTTCGGATTTTCACTATCGGGGGCTTCTTCGCCGGTCTATTGGCGATGTATCGCCGATTCCAGGTCGATGCTATTGATGTTCCAACCTGCTTTAGCCTCGATCACCAGAAATGATGTCGGGCACCAGGAAGGTACCGAAACTTGAGAGGGTTTTCACGTGTCGTGCCCTGGGAGGCGACACTCGTTCGACACTGCTTCGACACTTTTCTGGGTGCTGGGATCATTTCTGGGATGCGGTCCTTGAGTGCGATGAGAGCAACCGTGATCCTCCCCCCCTTCTCCTCCTCCTCCTCCTTCTTCTCCTCCTCCGCCCATTCCTCCTCCTCCTCCTCCTCCTCCTCCTCCTCCTCCTCCTCCTCCTCCTCCTCCTCCTCCTCCTCCTCCTCCTCCCCCTCGTCCTCGTTGCCAGCCCCCCCCCCCTGCCGTTGCCCCTCAGGGGAGGGGGTGGAGGCTCAGGGGGCGGGGGGGGGGTCGGGGCCCGGACCGCTCTTCCCCCATCGGGTCAAAGGGGGGGTGGGTTCGGCCCGCGCAGCCGCAGGGTTCTGCCGCCGAGCAGCGGCGGCCGACGTCAGAGGAGGAAAGGGCACCGGTGCTGCGTGCTGCTGCCGTCCCAGACCCCCTCGAGTCATTCAGGCGATCGCAAACATGGATAAAGGGGGCGTGGATTAGCGACGGGTCCCGTTTGCATGGGCGATCGCGGATGTCCGCCGCCGAGCGAGGCGGCACCGGCCGCATTGTGGGGAGGGCCCCTTCCCCGATCCATGGATTTGGCGACCGCGCGCCAAATCCATGGATCGCTAATCCATGTTTGCGCGCCCTCGAGTCCTGAAGAATTCACGACGGGAGGTTTTTCCATCTTTTCGGCCTCTCGGGGCCCTTCCTGGGCCCTCGGGGCCGTCGACAGAACGACTCGGGATGAAAAGCCGGTCACGGGGAATGGGTCGCGACCTCTGGGGTCGACGTTATGAAAAACATGGCGTCGGGGGTCTGGGTCCTGCTACCATTGTATTGTTTTCGACTTTTGGGGCCTCCTGGGGAGCTCTCGTCGCCACCGCTGTGTTCGCCTCGCGATCCTGATCTCAGAGTGCACCCAGGAACGGTCCAGGGAGTAGCGGCATCGGCACCTGCTGGTCTCCGCAAGAGGTGCACTGTTTCGGCAATGGGAGGGGGCATCCTGGGATGGCTGGTGGGCTTCGCGCAAGGCTTCCCGCCGCCCGGGAGGCTTCCTTGGAAGCCCCCGGCCCCCCTCGTAGATCGCTGCGCAGAGAAAATAAAATATGAATGGGCGCATCGGAAACAGCAGCCGTCCCGGAAGACGTGGTCAAGAGTCGTTTCAGAAAGGGAGCCGCAATGCGCACTCGGGTCTCAAGGAAGACCGTGGGCGGCGTTGGTCAGATGGTTTAAGAGGTGTCCACGGAACATGACACAATTTCGAAGGAGACCGGAAAGCATCTGAATCTGCTTTCGTGCAGAGGAGCGACATGTGAGGGCTGCGGCCCGCGCGCCGCGGGTCTGCCTCTGCGCGCCTTGCCTCGCCTCAACTCGCCCCCGGGCTCTCCTAAGAGCAAGCCCCAACCTCCTCTGGTCGTGGGCCGTTCAGCCGTTCTCGGCATCGGGGTGCCCTCACCAGGCCATGCGGCTCGTTAAAGGAGGGCCCGGGGGAACACCCTGTCCAGGGGAGAAGGCCCAGGTCTCCTGGGGCCCAACAACAATACCAGAGGCACGCGTGCCAAGGATCATAAAATTTCGGCGAGAAAAAAGGGATAGCGAGGGAGCCAGTCCTTGGCAGACGCGGGGAAGCGCGCGAGTGCTGCGACACGCTGGCAAGCTACAATCTCGAGGACGGGGAGGACGGACATAAGCACGTCATTTCGGGTATGGGGGAGTGTTCCTCCTCCTCCTCCTCCTCCTCCTCCTCCTCCTCCTCCTCCTCCTCCTGCTCCTCCTCCTGTCGGCCGGTCGGCCGGTCGGAATGAGCAAACGGCAGGCCACGGGGCGAAGGGGGTGGGGAGGGGCACGGTCGGTCGGTCGGAATATGCAGACGGGAGGCCACGGGAGGAAGGGGAGCAGGGGGACGGGAGGGCACGGTCGGGCGAGGGCGGGGCAAGGCACGGTCGGTCGGTCGGAATCAGCGGACGGGGGCCACGGGGCGGAAGGGTGCTGGGGGGGAGCAAGGGGGACGGGAGGGCACGGTCGGGCAGAGGGCGGGGCGGCACGGTCGGTCGGTCGGAACAAGCAGACGGGGGCCACGGGGCGGAGAGGGCGGGTGGTCGCACGGTCGGTCAGTCGGAAAGGGGGGAGGGGGTGGACCGGAGGGCAGCACGGTGGATCGGTCGGAATAACCAGACAGGGGGCCACGGGGCGGAGGGGGAGGGGTGGGGGCGCGGTCGGTCGGTCGGAATGAGCAGACGGGAAGCCACGGCAGGAAGGGTAGCAGGGGGACGGGAGGGCACGGTCGGGCGAGGGGGGAGGGACACGGTCGGTCGGTCAAAAATGCAGACGGGGGCCACGGGGCGGAGGGGTGCGGGGGGGGGGGGGACGGGAGGGCACGGTCGGGCAGGGGGGGGGCGGCACGGTCGGTCGGTCGGAATTAGCAGGGGGCCACGGGGCGGAGGGGTGTGGGGGGGAACGGGGACGGGAGGGCACGGTCGGGCAGGGGGGGGGGGCATGGTCGGTCGGTTGGATTAAGCAGACGGGGGCCATGGGGCGGAGGGGTGCGTGGGGGGGGGAGCAGGGGGGCGGGAGGGCACGGTCGGGCAGAGGGGGGGGGGGGCATGGTCGGTCAGTTGGATGAAGCAGACGGGGGCTATGGGGCGGAGGGGGGCGTGGGGGGAGCAGGGGGACGGGAGGGCACGGTCGGGCAGAGGGGGCGGCATGGTGGGCCGGTCGGAACAATCAGACGGGGGCCACGGGTGCAGCACAGGGAGGCAGCACACAGCCGTGCACATTTCCCATCAAACGAAGGCCGCACGCGTCCTAGCACACATCCCAGCACACATCTCAGTCCAGCGCACATCCCAGGCACGGTCGGTCGGTCGAAATAACGCAGTGCGACATCACACCGGTAGGTATGATAATGGAGGCGCCGAAGCTCTGGGGAGCCCCCCCCCCAGACCCTCGACGCCATGATTTTTTCAGAACGTCGACCCCCAGAGGTCTTCACCCATTCCCCGGGACTGGCTGTTTCATCCTGAGTGGTTTTCTGTCGGTCCCGGGGCCCCGCGAGGGCCGGCCCCCGCAGGCAGAAAGTAGAGAGACACTTCCCGCCGTGATTTTCTCGTGACCCGAGGGGGGCTGGGCCCCCTCCTGCCCTTTCGGAGGCCCCCCCCGCCCCTCCGCCCGCCCCCCTTCCCCGCGCCGGCTCCCGAGGCGGCCGAGGGCGACGGCTCCGGGGGCGACGCCGACGGGTCCGCGGGGAGCGCGAAGCAGAAGCGGCGCGGCGGGCGCGGCGGGCGCAGGGCGCGCGACGCCGCCGGCGAGGGCAGGGAGGGCGTGCTGCGCCGCATCGAGAAGCGGCTGCAGTGGCTCAACGACAACGTCTCCTTCGGCGAGGCGTGCCCGACGTGCATGGCCCGGGGCCCGGGGCTCGGACCCCCTCGGGTCCCGACAAAAATCAGGACGTACGGGAGTTGCTTGTTGTTGTTTGGCTTTCTATTTTCGGCCTCTCGGGGCCCTCACCGAGCCTCGGAGCCGTCAAAAACGATTCAGGATGGAAAACTGGTCCTGGGGAATGGGTCGATACCTCTTGGGGCTGACGTTCTCAATCAAAAATCATGACGTCGGGGGTCTTGGGAGGGCGGGGCGGGGGGTCGCTGCAGCGCGGCGGGTTGCCAGCCCCCGGCGAGTGGCCCAGGGCGGGGCATCGCGCGTGGCGCGTGCTTTTTTTTTTGTTTCGGGCGTCGGGTGTCAAGAGGCCAGGCGGCCAAAGCCACGGGGGTGCAGGTGATGCCCCCCCCACCCCCCTTGGGCAATCTGCCGCTGCTGCACTTGCCGACCGCTGATCGGCAGTTGCTCTCTGAACGCCAGACCCTTGGGCTCGTTCGGCGGCCGCAGCAGAGGCGCATAACGAGGCCCCAGTCACCCAGCGTCCAGACGACGCTCCAGAGCGAGTGCGCGCAATGCCCCTTGTGTGCTGCGCTCGAGAGAAGTCGGTGGGCGACCGCCCCTCCCCTGGCCCAGCGAGGCCCTCAGCTTCGAGCGGCTCGGGGAGAGCCTTGCCGACATGGGCCTGACCGACGCGATGGCGATGCTGAAGCAGCTGGAGGAGACCGCGCAGGCGGAGGAGGTGCGCAACCCCAACGCCTTCGTCGCGGCCGCGATCCGGAGAGCCAGCGCCGGCAGCGGAAAGCGCGCCGGGGCGGCGCCGCGAGAGGGCCCCGGCCGCGCCGTGATCAAGAAGCACCTGAAGGGGAGCTCCACGTCCCGCGACGGCTTCCTGGAGAAGATCCGGAAGCGGGTGGCCTGGCTCAACGCCAACGCCAGGCTGAACTCGGAGATCACCTGGGACAAGGTCAGCGGGCCGCTGGTGGACGCGGGCGAGGTGTCCTTAGAGATGCTGCAGGAGCTCGAGGGCTCCTCGTCGACGATCCGTGACCCAACGGGCTGGCTCATAGCGACCGCACGCAAGAAGCTGCGGGACGTCCAGGACGGCGCCGCGCCGGGGGCGCGGGGCGGTGAGCCCGCGAGGGTACCGAAGAGGCGGCGGGAAGAGCCAGAGCAGCCGCAGGAGCTCAAGTTTGACAAGCTGGAGAAGCGGCTGAACTGGCTGAACGAGAAGGTCCGGCTGCAATCTCCCCTGCGCCTCGACACGCTGGTGCCCATCCTGGCGGACCTGGACCTGAAGCAGGCGTTCGACATCCTCAAGAGCTTCGAGGAGAAGGCGGATTCGGTGAGGGACCCGACGGCCTACGTGGCGTCGGCGGCGCGGGACGAGCTGCGCCTTCTGCAGGAGGGCGGTCGGATGCCTCCGGGCCCCGAGGTGGACAAGCTGGAGCAGCGGCTGACCTGGCTGAACGAGAAAGTTCGCATGAATGCGCCCCTGCGCCTCGACACGCTGGTGCCCATCCTAGCGGACCTGGACCTGAAGCAGGCCTTCGAGATCCTCAAGAGCTTCGAGGAGAAGGCGGAGTCGGTGCGGGACCCGACGGCCTACGTGGCGTCGGCGGCGCGGGACGAGCTGCGCAAGCGGCGAGAGGGTGGAGCTGCTGGCGGCCTCGGCCCCGAGATCCCAGCGCCGCGGCCCTCGGAGCGGGCGGCCCGGCGCCCGCTCGCCCTGCCGGGCCCCCCGGCCACGCCTCCCCCCTCGTCGGAGGAGGCGCGGCTGCAGAAGCGCATCGCCTGGCTGAACAGCCACGCGGCCCTCGCCGAGCCCCTCGTCTACGAGGAGCTCGCGCCGGACCTCCTGGGCATCGGGTACCTCAACGCGCTGGAGGTGCTGAACAACCTGGAGGAGAACGGCGAGAAGGTGAGGAACCCGAACAGGTGCTCCAAGTGCGGCAGCTGTGCACCACCATGCCTGGCCGGTGCCGTCCTGGGCCCCAGGAGTGCCCTGAGACGTACAGACCATGCCGGGGCCCAGGACCACCCCGGCCAGGCATGGCGGTGGTGTGCGGGTGCCGCCTGCGGAAGGTACGTCATCAGCGGCGCCAGAAAGGTCAGACCGGCCACAAGTAGGGGAGCCGTGGTCGGGGGCAACGATAGGGGGGATAGGCATAGAGGGGGATGCATCCACCCCCCATCGCCCAGTGTTCGCCGACAGGGACCCGATAGCTCCACCCCGCCCAGGATGGTGCGGATTGACTATCGGGGGCCTATCGCCGATCTATCGACGATGAATCGCCGATCCCAGGTCGATGCATCCCCCCCTGTGCCTATCCACCCCCTCTCATCGCCCCTCGCGGGGCCCCTCGCCCCCCCCACCCGGAGACTCATCGGCTTCGCCGCCCCAGCCCATGTGGGGCCTGCAGGGAGCAGGGGCGGGAGCAGGCCTCTGCACGTGCTGCGTGCACCGAGCTCCTCCCGCGCTGTTGAAGAGGCACCCGGCCGCGACCCCCTGCGGCGTCGGAGGTACAAAACACTCGCACACACACGCACGCACACGCACACGCACACGCACACGCACACGCACACGCACACGCACACGCACACGCACACGCACACGCACACGCACACGCACACGCACACGCACACGCACACGCACACGCACACGCACACGCACACGCACACGCACACGCACACGCACACGCACACGCACACGCACACGCACACGCACACGCACACGCACACGCACACGCACACGCACACGCACACGCACACGCACACGCACACGCACACGCACACGCACACGCACACGCACACGCACACGCACGCGCACGCGCACGCGCACGCACGCGCACGCGCACGCGCACGCGCACGCGCACGCGCACGCGCACGCGCACGCGCACGCGCACGCGCACGCGCACGCACGCACACACGCGCACACACGCACACGCGCACGACGCACGCACGCACACGCACACGCACACGCACACGCACACGCACACGCACGCACACGCACGCACGCACACGCACACGCACACGCACACGCACACGCACACGCACACGCACGCACACGCACACGCACACGCACACGCACACGCACACGCACACGCACACGCACACGCACACGCACACGCACACGCACACGCACACGCACACGCACACGCACACGCACACGCACACGCACACACGCACGCGCACGCGCACGCGCACGCGCACGCGCACGCGCACGCGCACGCGCACGCGCACGCGCACGCGCACGCGCACACGCACACACTCACACGCACGCACACGCACGCACACGCACACGCACGCACGCACGCGTACGCGCGCGCACGCACACGCACACGCACACGCACACGCACAGGCGCCCACACGCACGCGCACTCACGCACACGCACGCACACGCACGCACACGTACACGCACGCACACGCACGCACACGCACGCACACGCACGCACACGCACGCACACGCAAGCACACGCACGCACACGCACGCACACGCACGCGCACGCACACGCACGCACACGCACACACGCACACACGCACACACGCACACACACAGACACAGACACATTCACACACACACACACATAGACACACACACACACACATAAACACACACACACAGGTCGGCCTCGTCGCCCCAGTCGTCTCGGGGCATCGGCGACGCGATCCCTGAGATCCGACGTTCCAAAAACAGTGCCACAACCGCCAGGCAATCATTCACCGACCCACACGGTGCAGCCGCCGTGGAAGAACAAAAACGCTGTACCTCCATGCCTCCGCTCGCCTCGCCGTCGCTGGCACGGCGGGCGGGTTGCTTGGAGGCTTTGGGACATTGTGACATTGTGACATCGCAGGAATCCAAGGACCGACGACAACGCTGTTTAGCTTGGTTTGGGCCCTTGTTTTGTTTTTCGTTTCGTTTTTCGTTGTTGCTTCGTTTCGTTGTTCGTTGTTGCTTTAAGCGCCCCGTTTCGTCGTTCGTCCGTTAGGCACCGGCTTCTTTCAAACGTTCGTTTTCAACGTTGGGACTCGTTCGTTTTTCGTTGTAAGCGCCATTTCGTTTTAAACTTCGTTGCCTGCAGAAATCACGACCAGAGCCCCAGACCCCATCTTTTTGCGTCCTTCTTCGAGCCGGATCGATCTGTGCGGGCCCTGGGGCCCGGCACGAGGCGAGAGCGACAGGCGTGAGACAAAAACAGCAACGCCAGGATCTCGACTGCACGTAAGAGTGACCCTTCGCCGGAGTGACCTTCGATGCGGGCCCATTGGGGCCCACCGATCGCCGAACGCGATGCGATCGTAGCGTTGAGTCGGGCCTGTCCCTCTACAGGGGGGAATATTCAAAATGAGCCCCAAAATAGTATGGGCACGATTGTTGAACTATCCGTAAGGGCTTCGCCCCATGCCGCCGGCCCCCTTCCTCGGGTAATGGGAGATGCAGAAGCTAAATCATGAGGTCTGGGCGCCGCCGTGAAGCAGTGTGGGGACCTGTTTGTTTTTCGACCCTGGCTCCGCCGATTTGCGTGAGGGGCGCAACCGAATTTCAGGAATGTGGGAAATCCCATGTGTTTTTGGACCGTGACCCGGTCGATCCACATAAGGGGTGCCACCAAATTTCTGAAATGTTGTAAATTTTGCATGAGGGTGTCATCGAATTTCAGAAATGTTACAAATCCAATATGTTTTTGGACCCTGACCCCGCCGATCTGCGTGAGGGGTGCCACCGAATTTCAGGAATGTGGGAAATCCCATGTGTTTTTGGACCCTGACCCCGCCGATCTGCGTGAGGGGTGCCACCGAATTTCCGAAATGTGGCAAAATCTTACTTGTTTTCGGACCCTGACCCCGCCGATCTGCGTGAGGGGTTCCACCGAATTTCAGGAATGTGGCAAATCCGATGTGTTTTTGGACCCTGACCCCGCCGATCTGCGTGAGGGGTGCCACCGAATTTCAGAAATATGGCAAATCCTATGTGTTCTTGGCCCCTGCCCCCGCCGATCTGCGTGAGGGGTGGTATTTTTACCCACCCCAGCAATTCAGAGCACACGCTCAGGGCGTGCTAAACCTGCCCGTTTGGGCCTCCCCTCCCTCGCGCGGTCCATCAACAAGGAACAGTAAGCAGCAAGAAGCAGAACTGTAACAGTGGAAAGTGGAAGCTGCAACTGGCACAGGAAACTGCGAAGCTTCGGCCTACAGCCTGGTGGCCCCACAAGGGGGCCGGCGGATTTTGTTTTATTATTTTTGGAATGTGTTCTGGGTATTTGATTATTTTTCCTCCAAAATGCCCCTGTAAGGGGATTGGCCCGACCTAATGGTAGCATCTTGCGCGCTTGTGTTTGGCCCCCCCGCGGCCCCCGAAGAGGTGCGTTCACCAAAGGGCACTCTTGCTCAGGGTCACTCCTGCGTGTAGCCGAGGACCTCTGGGGCTCGAATCGGGGATCCACTACATAACTGATTCACACCAAAATTCAGCCACGCGCAGAGGGGGGTGGGGGGAGGGGGGAGGGCTTCTTAGAAGCACCCCTGCTTCTTAGAAGGCGCGGGACTTCTCTACAGATGTAAGGCCGGCGCCTTCTAAGAAGCAGCCTCTTTCTAAGAAGCCCTCCCCCCTCCCTCCGCCCCCAAGTGCGCACCGCCAAAACACTGAAATTCTTTACGCTTCGCGTATCCCCACCAGCCCATCTCACAGCAGCAACTCTTGCGAAGCATGCCGACAGTCGTGTTTTTCAGGCGTGTGTCCGCTTGGCCCCGCATATCTCCCCTGTTCCTCCTTCCTCCCGCCTCCTTGTACATCCTCCTTGTGGGGGGAGCGGGAGAAGGACGAGGCGGAGGAGGAGGGAGAGAGAGCGCTCCTCGTGATTTGAGTCGTTTGGGGTTTCTCGTCCTGGTGTGAGTCGTTCGGGCCCTTCTTCCTGGTGTGAGTCGTTCGGGCTCTTCGTGGTGTGAGTCGTTCGGGCTCTTCGTCCTGGTGTGAGTCGTTCGGGCTTCTCGTGGTGTGAGTTGTTCGGGCCCCTCATCCTGGTGTGAGTCGTTCGGGCCCCTCCTCCTGGTGTGACGTTCGGGTTCGTGGTCTCTCTCGTGGTGTGAGTCGTTCGGGGCCCGCGTCGTGGTGTGAGTCGTTCGGGGTCCTCGTGGTGTGAGTCGTTCGGGCGCCTCGTCCTGGTGTGAGTCGTTCGGGCCCCTCCTTGTGGTGTGAGTCGTTCGGGCTCCTCGTGGTGTGAGTCGTTGGGGTCTCTCGTCCTGGTGTGAGTCGTTCGGGCTCCTCGTGGGGCCTCTTGGGGGCCTCTTGGAGCTTCTTGGGGCCTCTTGGGGGCCTCTTGGGGGCCTCTTGGGGGCCTCTTGGGGGCCTCTTGGGGCCTCTTGGGGCCTCTTGGGGACCTCTTGGGGCCTCTTGGGGGCCTCTTGGGGGCCTCTTGGAGGCCTCTTGGGAGCCTCCTGGGGGCCTCTTGGGGCCATCTTGGGGCCTCTTGCGACCTCCTCAGAAGCGCAGATGAGCGCTGCCCCCTGAGAAGGACAAAATGAGCCCCAAACCTTGGTAAAATCAATGATTTTGCTATGAGGGAAGATGAGCGCGGCCCCCCCCCGGGGCCAGAATCCTCGTGATGGTCGTCCTTTTTTGGCCCTCCCAGGAGTCGAAAAAGACCCCTCCAACCACCCGCGGGGCGCCCTCTCCAGGCCCAGGGGGAGGGGGTAGGGGGAGGGGTAAACCCCTCCCCGAAGGGAAGAAGGGGGGTTGAGGACAGAGGGAGAGCTCTCTAAACCACTCACGCCCAAAGGGCTGGTGGGATTCTCGCCGAGTATATGCAGGAAGCGCGTGGAAGCTTTGTGGATCTCCGGGAGACGGCACGTACTTGTTTGGTACTTTCGGTGGGAAAATCAGTTCTGGGGTACATCGAGGGCTGGGCCCTCCCAGGAGGGGTGGGCCCCCATGGAGTCCTCTCCTCCACATCCTCCTCCAAGTCCTCGAAATTATCCTCCTCCTCCTCCTCCTCCTCCTCCTCCTCCTCCTCCTCCTCCTCCTCCTCCTCCTCCTCCTCCTCCCCCTCCGCGTCCTCGAAATTTTCCTTCTCCTCCTCCTCCTCCTCCTCCTCCTCCTCCTCCCTCTCCTCCTCCTCCTCCTCCTCCTCCTCCTCCTCCTCCTCCTCCTCCTCCTCCTCCTCCACCTCCCTTCTTATGATGGCCCAACCTACTTCAGACTTGATCACCTTTACTTTCGAGCACCAGGAAAGCACCGAAACTTGATGGTTTTCACGTGTCGGGCTCTGGGAGGCGATATTCGTTCGACACTGTTTCGACGCTTTTCGGGGTGTTCGCAATTGTTTCTGGGATGTGGTCGACGATCGGAGCAGCGTAATCCCTCCCCCCCTCCTCCTCCTCCTCCTCCTCCTCCTCCTCCTCCTCCTCCCTCCTCCTCCTCCTCCTCCCCTTCATCCCTCTCCTCCCCCTCGTCCTCGAAATTCCCCAGTCGATCCCGCCCTTCGAGGCGGGGCCCCCCCCCCCGGGGAGGGGAGGCCACCCGCCACGGCTATAGCTGGTCCGGCCGAGGTGGCGGCTGGGGAGCCGCCGCCCTCGGCGCCCGCCGTGGGGCGCAGCATGCAGCCCCCGCCGCCGCAGGGGCCCAGCAGGCGCCCGGGGCCCCCGCCCAGGCCGAGGGAGGAAGAACCCGAAAACAAACGGGAAAAAAACGAAAAACAAAACCACCAAACACCATGAAAAACCATGAACATTAAAAAACGGTGAAAACCATGAACTAAACTATCATCATTTTTGAACACCATGGAAACTTTTGGCGCTCCGCGCGGACTTCTTGGGTCCGCGCTGGGCCCACCCGGCGGCGCCTCCGGCGCCGCCCCTGGCGCGCTTCGCGCGCAAGGGAGGGGGGTCCAGCGCGGTTCAAGAAATCCGAGCCGAGCGCCAAAAGTATATGTTTATGCTGTTTGCTCTTCTAAAAGGGCGGCACGGGTGGTACGCCCAGGCCACCTCGTATTATGGAAAAATCGTGACAGGAGGTGTTTCGCTGTTTTTGGCCTCGGGGGGCCCCTACCGGCTCCTGGGACCGTCCAAAAAACGAATCAAGGTGAGACACCTGTCTTGGGGGATAGCTGGAGACCTCTTGGGGTCGACGTTGTGAAAGAATCACGACGTCGGGGGTCTAGGAACGGCATGCTGCCCTGATACTCCCGTGTTGAAACGCAACACGTGCCGTGTTCAAATTGCCAGTGTTAGCACGCAGCGTGTTGGCTCGGCACGTGTTGGTCCACGTTTTGGCGACCTCATCGTGCCAGGCCTACATGTTCAGTCTGTGTGTTGAGCCCTGTATCTATACGCTACGTGTTGTGTGTTGCGTATCGGAGCAGCTAGGTTACAGTAGGTTCATGCAGCGATGGCGCGTCGGCGACGCCGTCGAAGGCGTTCAAGGTTGAATTCCGCATGAGAGAGCGACGCGGAAACACCGAGGGACACAGTAACGCCGCAGGATGCGAGTGAATTTGATTTTGAACGATCGGGGCCGAGATCGATTCAAGTTTGAACGATCGACGCGGTGTCAAAACTTTTTGCGCGCGCCGACGCCGCACGGATCGGCCACGCGCAGTTGAGGGTAGGGGGGAAGGCTTCTTACAAGCACCCATGCTTCTTTGAAGGCGCGGGCTTTGCCTGTAGATGTAGGGCCGGCGTCTTCTAAGTAGCAGCCTCCTTTTAAGAGGCCTTCCCCCACCCCCTACTCCCTTGTGCGCGCCGCCAAACAAATTTGCTGAGCTCGGCGCGGATTTCTTGGAGCTGCGCTGGGCCCCCCTGGGGGCGCCTCTGGCACCGCTCCTGGCGCGCTCCGCGAGCCGGGGGGAAGGGGGGGTCCAGCGCCGACGCGAGGAGTCCGCGCGAAGTGCAGAGTTTTTACGTCTATGTTTAAGTCGGGCGTGTCCCCCTACAGGCGGATTTTGGAGGAAAAATCAAACACAGACAACAAATATCCCACAACGGTCAAAAAGTATTCCAAACATCGTCCCCATATGTTTTTACTATTTTGGGGTATTCCTCCAGTAGAGGGATCGGCCCGACTTCAGTTTCTGTCAGTGTTTGCCCCCCTACGAGGGACGCGCAGTCCCTTCCGCCGCGGCGGCGGGAGCCGCCGGGAGCCGACGGCGAGAAGCTCGAGAAGCGCATCGCGTGGCTGAACAGGACTTCCCGATCGTCCGCTTGTCGGGCTGCCGAGGCTCGAGGCTATAGCTTCTGTGGTGCTGCCGCTTCTTGTTTCCTGGAGCTTCCTTGACCTCGAGGGCCCACGGGCGAAGGGGCCCATTCTGAGCGGACCGCTCCGAGGCATCCTGCGCCACGAGAGACTCGCGGCGGCCGAGACACCCCGAACACTTCGTGGCCCTGCAGGGAGCTCCACCGAAGGCCCCAGTGGCAGGGCTCGCATGCGTGACCGCGCCCATTGGGCCAAACCACGCACGCGCTTCGTGGACCCAAAGGGAGCTCCACCGAAGGCCCCTATGGACCCACAGGGAGCTCAACGGAAGATTGTACTCATCACTGCGGTGTTCACATTTGCATGTGGTGGGGTCTTTCTCCTCTCCAGGACTTTTTTTACGTAGCACCCCGCAGGTGCGGATAAGAGTGAGGGGGCGGTGGGGACGTCGGCAGTCTGCGAGACTCTGGAGAAGCCCGCCGCAGGCGCCAAAATTTCACAAATTATACAACGAGCCCGCCGCAGGCGCCGATTTGATCGCGGGTGGGGCGCGGGTGGGTCGCAAGTGGGTTGCGGGTGGGTCGCGGGTGGGTCGCGGATAGGTCGCGGGGTGGGTCGCGGGTGGGTCGCGGGATGGGTCGCGGGTGGGTCGCGGGTGGGTCGCGGGTGGGTCGCGGAGTGAGTCGCGGGTGAGTCGCGGCTGGGTCGCGTGTGGGTCGCGGGTGAGTCGCGGGGTGGGTCGCGGGGTGGGTCGCAGGGTCGCGGGGTGGGTCGCAGGTGAGCCGCGGGGGGGACGACGACAACAAACAACAATGACAACAACACCAACAATAACACCAACAACAACGTCAACACCAACAACACCAACAACAACAACAACAACAACACCAACAACAACAACAACAAAAACAACAACAACAACAACGTCAACAACAACAACAACAACACTCATTTTAATATTGTTCGCTCTGAATTGCTCGAGTGACCGTTAACGCGTATTTCCCAAACCATCGATACCCGCCCTCTTGGTCTTCGATCGTACCCCTTGTTCTTCCCTGCAGGCTGGGACCGGGCAAACGGCGGGGCTGCCGCGGACCGTCGGCCTGGCCAGCAGCAGCGCTGATCGGCGGCAACCCGACCCCAAAAGGGACAGACAGGGGACCGACCACGACGACGTTTACGAGGACGACGACGACGACGAGCGAAAGCGAGAACGAGAGAGAGAGGGAACGAAAGCAAGGACACGAGGGGCACGAACTAGGCCACGAAGGGCGACAGCGGGGCCACGAAGGGAATGCGTATGGGGCCACGAAGTGCGCGAGCGAGCGGGGGCCACGACGGGCAGATAATGCGGGGCCACAGAAGGCAACGACGGGGCCGCTGAGGGTAGCAACTGGGCCACGTAGGACAGCGAGGGAGCCACAAAGGGCGACGGCGGGGCCGCGAAGGGCACGCACATGGGACCACGACGGGCGCGAGCGAACGGGGGCCACGAAAGGCATGCGTACATGGGGCCACAAAGGACGACGGCGGGGCCACTGAGGGCAGCAAGGGGGCCACGAAGGGCAGCGAGGGGGCCACGAAGGGCGACAACGGGGCTACGAAGGGCATGCGTATGGGGCCACGTCGGGCGCGTGCGTGAGGTGGCCACGAAGGGCCTACACTGCGGAACCACAGAGGGCAGCGACGGGGCCACTGATGGCAGCAACGGGGCCACGCAGGGCAGCGAGCGAAGGCGACCGCCGAACCAATACGGGCAGCGATGGGCATCGAAGGCGGGCGAAGGACAGCGAGCGCTGACTGCAGTCATTAACGGGCTGGTCGGGCGGGCAGGCTCCGACGGGCGGGTCGAGCGGGCGGGTCGTTGAAGCGTGAGTCCTGCTTGAACCGCCAGGCGCTGTGTAGCGGGAGCGCGATTTGTGAGTGTTGAGGAGCGGCATCTGGATAAATTGTCGGGGAAGATTAAGCGAAGCGGTTCGGTGGTAAGTTGCGAGGAAGTCCCAAAGCGAGAATCCGGTGGTAAATTGCAAGGAAGTTCCAAGCGAGAGCGCGATTCTTCAATACAATGTGAGGGACTATCAGGCGGGAGCCGTTATTGTTGTAAACCGGGGGCCAATGACACAGTTTGACCTCCAAGACTTTCCTTGATAAGAAAACAGAGTGCGAGCCCTGGGAAGGACACTTCAATTGAAACATGCAATGTGCACCGGGCGGGGGGGATCAACTATATTATTTTTTTTTCAGAAATGAGAATTCAAAAACAACAAGAATAGCAGCAACAACAACAACAGCGAACAAGCATAATCCTCACTACGGATTCTTCCACGCACCCAGAGACAATGAATAACCGCTCGGCCCCCTCACCCTGACCTTCCACTCTTCTAGCGAAGCGCTTTCAGCGAAATGGGCTACGGTGCACATGTAGTTGTCTTTCAATACGCATTAGGACGTTTCTTTGGTTTTCACCGTTCGCTCTTGGGACGTCGAACGCGGCACTGCAAAGAAGCTGGAAACGATGATCAAATGGCGCCGCCGGGGAACGGAAGCGGATGAATGCAAACAGCTCAAACCGGCGCCCGCCAGCACCTTTCGAGGCCTCCGGGACGGAACAAACATTTGCGCCTTGCTGTCCACTTTGCCCGGATCCGCGGCCCAAATCCGGGCCACGTTCGCAGGAAAGGCGCTTGGACACGTACCAGAAACAAACGTATTCAAAACAACAACAAAAACGAAGCGGGCGAGCGGGAGAGCAACGGGGGGCAGCCCGAGCCTGCGCCCGTCGCAGACAGCAACGGTTCTTCTGCTCGGGGCGCTTCCTTTGAGTGCGACTGAGAAGCGCAAAAGGGAGCCTCTGATTGCCACCTTACGTGTGCGACACGATCGGTCACTTCGGGAGAGACGGTGACGTAAAACAACAAGCACACCGAACACGAAAAAGACATTATACAAACATGACAACGATCATTGAACACATGTTCTTTAATCAATGCTTGGCATCGGAATTGCAACGGGATTAGAAACGCACGCACAACGAAACGTGACACGTCAAGATGGGGGGAAACACGCCCAGACCGTTTTGGGAGACATCTAAGGGTGCACGTGGCCGTGCTGTCACCCCTGTCCTGGGTGCATATCCTGCCTTTGTAGAGTTTCGATAAGGGGTCGTTTATAATGATAACTAGTTAAGCAGAGCGCCCTCCCCAAACAGCAAGTGTGTAGATCATCGTGCCGACATCAGCTGAATTAGTCTCAGTCGAAGCGGTGACTGTGGTCCTAAAGTGTAAGGAAGTCTCAAGCGAAACGGCCTCGGTGGTCCTAAAGTGTGATCAAGTCTCAAGCGAAACGGCTTTTGTTGTTTTAAAGCGTGGGGAGTCTTACGCGAAACAGCCCCGCCGGCTTTAACACGGAAGGAAGGCGAAACGGCTTACATGGTCATACGTTGTAATGAAGCCTTTGGTGAACGGGCCTCGTTGGTTTTGAATTGTGGGGAAGTTTCAAGCGAAACGGCTTCGCTTGCTTCAAGTTGTAGGGGCGTGTTAAGCGAAATTATGTCGGCGGTTTTAATCGTCAGATGGCTAACGCAAGTAGCTGATATGGTCATACGTTGTGAGGAAGTCTTCAGCGAGGCGGCCTCGGTAACGGCCTTCGTGGTTATAACATGCGAGGGTGTCTGAAACGAAGCGGCCGCCTGGGAACGACGTCCTGGGGTTCCCCGTACCTCTTGTGAGTCTCCGGTGTGGTCCTTGTTATATCCACTTGAACTCTTACTTGTGAATCGCTGGCAGGGAAAAATAGGGCAACTGAAGAGTCCTACGGGGAGATGGGGGGCCCGAGGCCGCCCGGTCTGGCAGCCGTGTCTCCTCAGACTGGAAGGGCAAGGAAAGAGAAGGGGAGGGAGGCACGGAAGAGCAGGAGAGGGGGGACAACCGCAAGCAGGCGGGCTGGGCCTGGGGCCGGGAGAGAAGGGCAACCTGTGATGAGGCTACGGACCCTACGGCGGCGGCACCGACAGGGGACCGATCGACCAGGGGGGAAGGGGAACCCGAGGCCGCCCAGTCCGGCAACCGTTTCGCCCCAGTCTTCGTCGTATGTTATGCAGGAATCGTGTTATCGGTCCAATGTTGGCTACAGTTTTGCCACCCGCAGGTCGCGCACGCCCCACAGGTCCTACAGGCCCCGCTGGTCTCACAGGCTCTGCGGGTTCCACACGTCCCAGTGGTATCAGAGGTCTCACGGGCCCCACGCGTCCTACATGTCCCACAAGCCCCACGGGCCCCACAGTTCCCACTGGTCCCACACATTTGGTCCCACACGTCTCACAGGCCCCACAGGCCCCAGCCCACAGTTCTCGCACGTCCTTCAGGTTTTGCAGGTCGTTCAGGCCGTACAGGTCCCTGTGGGTCCCACGGTTACCATCGGTCCCACAGGTCCCGTCGGACCCCACATATCCCACAAACCCCACAGTTCCTGCAGTTTCCACAAGAATCGCATGTCTCACGGGTCCCACAGGCCACAGAGGTCCCACAGGTCCCGCAGGTCTCACATGTCGCACAAGTTTACAGCTCCCACATGCCCAGGTCCCACGGGATTCGCAGGACGCACGGGTCCCACAGGCCACAGGACCCCCAGGTCAGGTCCTACAGGTCCCACGGGTGTCGCAAATGTCACAATTGCCAGAGGCCACAGAGTTCCCGCAGGTTTCACACTTCGCTCAAATCTACAGTTCCCGCCTGCCCCACAGGTCTCGCAGGACGCACAGGCCCCACAGTTCCCAAACGTTCCCTAGAGCCCACAGGCCCCACAGGTCCCACAAATCCTTCGTGTCGCACGGGCGCCGCAGGCCCCGAGGTCGTGCATGCCACACAGGTCCCATGGTTACGATCAGTCCCACAGGCCCGAGACGCCGCACAAATCCCACATACCCGACAGTCGCCACAGGCCCCACAAACCCACCATATCCCCCCAGGCCTCATCGACATCGCAGGTCCTACGGGCCCACATGTTCCTCATATGTCGCCAGTCCCACAGGCCCCACAGGCTACAAAGGTCCCGCATGCTCCATAGGTCCCACAGGTCCCGCACGTCTCACAGGTTACACAGGTCCACAGTTCACACCTGCCCCACAGGACCAACAGGTGTCGCAGGTTCCATAGGTCCCACAGGTCCCACGGGAGCTACAGGTCCTGCAGATCGTAGAGGCCACAGGGTTCCCATAGTTCGCGCAAGCCCCACAGGCGGAAAATACCCTACAGGTCCCACATGACCAACAGGTGCCACACTCCCAGGTCACACAAGCCCCACAGGTCCCACAGGTCCCAAAGGTGCCCCGGGTCCTACAGATCTCACAGGTCCCACGGGTCCCGCAGGTCCCGCAGGTCGTACAGGCCTCACAGGTCCCACAGGTCCCACAGGTCTCACAAGCCCTGCAAGCTCCACAGCTACCACAGGTCCCACACGACGCAAAGGTCCCACGGGCCCACCCACAGGTCACGCAGGCCCCACAGGTCCCACAGTTTCCACCTGCCCGACTGGCCTCACAGGCCCCACGGGCCCCACAGGTCCTAAATACCCCACGTGTCCGACGGGTTCAGCAGGTCGCACAGGTCCCAGTGGTCCCACAGACGGGCCAGACGGTTCCCCCAGGTCTTTTGCTGCTGTCAGGGCGCCTTGCTGGGGTCATTCGTGTTCTCTCCTGGGGATGGCGTGGCATCGTGGCGTGTCGGAGGTCGGGGGCCCTTTGGCCATCGTGGCCCTTGAGGGAGTTGCGGCTTGGCACCTTGGCCGCGATGGTGATTTGTCGCCACTCGAATCCGAGGCCCAGCCCCCGCCCTCGAGAATTTACCATTATCTTGCCCCATTGATTTCCAGGTCGTCTTTTGATTTCGGGGGGGCACTGCAGGTGTGTTTCACGCGAAGGTGCGGATCGAGACGTGCTTGCCCACATATGTTCCAAATGGCTTTGAAGGGGGATGGGGCCTTTGATGTCATTGGTTGACTGGTAGCGGTCCGCGGAGCTCTGCTCTGTAGGTAGTTCCTCTCTGTCGCGCCACCAGACGTGTCAGTATGGCGGGCTGGTCGTTTCGTCTGGAGACTTCTGCACCATGTGTGTAGGACGCCTGCAGCGAATCACCGCCGCCCCCTGCCTGTTGGACGCGCCCATGCGGCCAAACATTGGGCCGAAGATTGGCCAAGCTATTGGACCATATGTTTCCCTAGCCGTCTGGAACTCGTTGGGGGGAACACCGGGGCGAGGAAGAGAAAGGATGAGGAGAGAGGCGAAGGAGGAGGAGGAGGAAGATGCGGCCTCTCGAGGCCCTCTTGAGGCCTCCTGGGGCCCCTTGGGGTTCTCATGGGGCCTCCTGGGGACCTCTTAGGGGCCTCTGAGGGCCTCTATGGAACCTCTTGGATGTCTCTGGGGCTGTGTTGGAGACCTCTTGGGGGTTTCTTGGGCTGTCTTCGGGCCCTCTTGGGCCGTCTTGCGGGCCTCTAGGGGGCCGTCTCGGGACGATCGTGGGTGCCCACGGGCCCGTCTTGGAACAGCGGGTGACAGACGACGGCGAGAACGCTAAAATCATGGAATCCAGAAAACCGGAGCACAATCAAAGAGCTTGGCCTCCTGGCGGTCCCCTTGGAGCCTTCTTGGGGCGCCTCAGGGGCTTCTTCTTCTTCGGGCAGTCGTGGTCCCCCTTCGGGCGCTGTAGGTCCGTCCCGGAAGTCTCTTGGGCCGTCTTAGGGGCCGTCTTGGGGGTCTGCTGGGTCGTCCTGGGGGGGCCCTCTTTGGTCAATCCTGCGGGCCTCTGGGGGGCCGTCTTGGGGCGATTTTGGGAGCCCGCGTGCCGGTCTTGCAGCATCGGGTGCCCGGACATGCCTCTTGGGCCGTCTTCGGACGATCTTGACAACCTTTGGGCCCGTCTTGAAGCGTCGGGTGTCCGAAAAGGTTCCATTAAAAACCTAATGAACTCAAAGAGCTTGGCCTCCTGGCGGTCCTCCTGGAGCCCCACTGGGGCGTCTCAGGAACCTCGTGGTCCGTCTGGAGGACATCTTGTGACGTCTGGGGGCCATCTTGGCAGTTTTCTGTTTTTGTTTCCCCCCTTATCCAGATCCTTGCGCTGCTCTCCGGGTGGCCAGCGGGTTGGGCCGAAGGCCCACTAGAACGTTTTTAGACGATTAAGAACTATTCAACGTCTGGCACGCCGTGCACCCTTGTGGCAGCACAGGGGGCGGGATGGCCTTCCGCCCATCCCGCCACCGTGATTTGATTGTGGGGCAGAGGAACGTTGGTTGCCTGTCGCGATTTCTTGGGATGCGGCTACTCGGATTCATTCTTTTTGGATTCGAGCATCTGGTTCAAATTGCACCTGGGCGGTACCACTCGGGAAGCCTCGGGGGAGCCTCTTGAAGGCAGTCGTGGGGCCTCTTAGGGCCTGTTGGGAGTCTCTTGCGCCGTCCTGGGGCCCCTCACGGGGACGTCCTGGGGCCTTCTTGGCCCGTCTTGGGACCCCCTTACTGACTCCTCCTGAGGGCCTCTTGGGCCGTCGTGGAGCGATCGTGAGGACCTCTTGGGGCCGTCTTGGAGCGTCGAGAGGGGCCGAAAAGCGAGAACGCCGCTAGCGTGCTTCAAACACCCACAGAGAATCACACAATGCTGCTCTCGGGGCTCTCTGGTTGCCTTTTGGTGGCCTCTTGGGCCCTCTTATGGCCATCTTGGGCCTCTTGGGCCGACTGCTCGGCGACTCGCTGCGCTCTTGGATCGCCCTGGGGGCCTCCTGGTGCCCTCTTGGGCCGTCTTGGGCCCCCCTTGGCTTCGAAAAGTCCTGCGACAAGGCCCAGTGAGTCCAGGAGCGCCAAGAACTCCGGGCTCTGAGCCTTGCGAGGCACCTGCAGGGTTGAGGCAAGAAGGGTGCAGGGACCTGCGGGCACTTCACTCAGTGCTCGACAGCACGGTGGCGGACAATCCAGAAGCTTGTAGCTCGCAGCAGTCAAAAGGATTGGACACAGGTCGGTTCAATATGACGCTGTCGCCCTAGCGCCGCGCTCATGTGCGCCAAGCGTTTGCAACAGTTACACGGATGAAGGGGGGCGTTTTCAAAATTGAGTTCTCGCCTCAGCTCCACGGCTATGTGCTTACCTCAGCGCCACGTACATGTATTTCAACAGCACGCAGCAGCTATAGGGCTGTCGGACGGTACCTTTTCAACATTTGGCTCTCGTTCGAAGGTTCATTACACTTATCCGCCAGAAGCGTTAACTGATGTAGCAGCTGTACGGGTGGAGGGTGGTTCATTCTTCACACTGGTTTATGTTGTTCGGGACTTCCTCGGAGTGCATGGCCAGGCAACTTGCGCAGCAGTTTCACGGATGGGGGCGGTCTTTTATCAAAGCAAGGATCTCGCTGGACACGTCGTCGAATTGTGCCATCATACTCTTCACATTCCCGACCGCGCGCGAGAGAGATGCAGCACGGGTCCTTCTTCAAGAGGGGCTCTCGCGCTGGAATGGCAGGCCCACAGGGGATGTTGGTCTTTAAGAGGGGGCGTTTTTGTTAAGCGAAGGGGAGGCGTGCAGGGGCATGTGCGGAGGGGACTTGGGACGGGTCCGTGTGTTGCAGCATCGAGGATGTTTCTCGGGTTCATCCTGGGCTTCTTCTCCCCCGCCTCGTCGGTCAGCGGTGGGCGGATCTTCTCTGGGGAGAGGTACGTGCACACCGAGGAGTCCTGCGCAGTCCTCCTCCTCCTCCTCCTCCTCCTCCTCCTCCTCCTCCTCCTCCTCCTCCTCCTCCTCCTCCCTGGGAAGAGGTACGTGTCAACAACGCAGTCTCCTGTGGCGCGCGCGCGCGAGCAAAGCGGACAGGAACGTGTGCCCGAAGGCGCCGCTCGACTTCGGCCGGCTCGCCCCCGTGCTGCTGCAGATGACGCACGACGACGTGCACAGGATGCTGAAGGATTTCGAGGAGCGGAGGCCGCCTAAATCGAGCCCGCACGGTTAGATTCGGCGGCGAGAGAAGGGGGGGAAATGAGAAGCAGAAGGCCTTCTCAGAAGGCGGCGGGACTTCTCAGAGGCCCTCGCTCCTTCTGAGCATTTTTGTCTGTCTTCGGGGAAGGCTTAGAAAACTTCTCAGAAGGTCGGGGGACTTCCGAGACTTCTGAGAAGGCCCGCCCCTTCTCACTTCTCCCCTTCGCTCGCCGCCGACGAATGGTTAGATGAGGCTGGAGGATGGCGCCGCAGCGCCGATGCATCGGGTACGCATCGGCGAAATCGTGCGTGGAAAATACATCGGCGATGCGGCGCGAATCCGCCAACCCCGACTGCGCTGTGGTCCGGTAGGGATCCACTACGATCCGATCGATCCGAGTCGACACGGGCCTGGCAGGCCCGACCCGATCCGATCCCGAGGGATCCCGACGACCCGCTGCGGCCAGGTGCTCGGCACGGCGCTGCTGCTCACCCTGGCGCGGCCGATCCGATCCGACTCCGGCGCCGTGCCGACGCGGCCCGGCCCGGTGCGCATTCCGCTCCGATCCGGCTCCCTGGTTCTCGGTATCGTTTCACTCGGGGGCCCCCAAACGGGGTGGTGACCACAGTCGGTGGGGATTCGGGGTCACCGCACGGCTTTGGGACTCGGGTCGTTCTCCGAAGATGTCTCGGGCGACAGGGGCCTCCGGGGTCCCAAGACCGTGGGGTGACGGACCGTGCGGTGAGGTCTTGGGGGATTTCGAGGTCACCGCACGGTCCGTCACCGCACTGTTTCGGGACTCCAAATTAAGCGATCCCCATCCCCATCCCCATCCCCTTCCCCCACCAGATTACCACCCCAGTTGGGGATGCACCCCTCGAAAGCCGAAGAGAGCGACCTGCATCCCCACCTAGGGGGTGAATCGGCCAGTAGGGCCCAGGCCACGCCGCTGGGGATGGGGATCGGTTAAACGATACTCAGGTTCGACGCCGGCTGATCTTGCCCTGCTCGGGCGGCCCGGAAAGGAGGGCGTCTTCGGCGACGTGCGAGACCCCACGGCCTACATCCTCGGCATCGCGAGGCGCGCCGACGCGGCGCGAGCGGGGGGGCGCCGCTTTCTCTGCCGCGCGGCGGGCCCCGCGGCGGCGGGGCGAGGCTGTGCCCCCCCATGGTTCGGCGATTGCAAAGGGTGCGGTTACAGTCGAGCCGAGGTATGAGATCGAGGTCGGTTCGGGGAAGGTGCCCTAGATGTGTGTCGAAGACGTGTCTGAGCGACGATGCGTCTGAGGCAGCAGGCACCCTGGCGATGCTCACCCATCCTCCGGGCGCGGAGGAGAACTCCGTCCGGGTCCTCGCCCGCCCCCCTGGGGTGCGGGTTGCAGGTCGCACCCTCTGCAGACCGCACCCTTCGGAGTCGCCGCATGGTGGCGTCCGCGCGGTCAGGGCTCCTCCTCGACAGATCCTCCTCGAAAGGTCGAAGCTCCTCCTCGAAAGCCCCTCCTCGAGAGCTCCTCCTCCTCGAAGTCTGAAGATCGCTCCTCCTCGAAAGCTCGAAGCTGGCAGCCGCCTTCGTCCTTCGTGACGTGTCGCTGTCGAATCCTCTTTTGGTAGGTGGATCTCTCAAGCTCTCCGCCGCCTCTGGCTTTGCTGTGTTCCTGCTCGCAACGCGCACCGCCAGAGGCGGCGGAGAGCCTGAGAGATCCACCCACCAACAGCAACACATGAAAACGCGCACACCATCGAGAGGTGCGTTGGGGCGAGGGCGCCAGGGCAAACGGCTCGGTCCGCGTCGCTGGCGGGGCCGAGGCGCGCCACGACGGGTGGTGGTGGTACCCAGACCCCCGACGCCGTGGTTTTTGCATAGCGTCGGCCCACAGAGGTCTGGGCCCCTTTCCCGCTTTCTCGTGGTCTTCTCCTCCTCCTCCTGCCTCCCAGCGAGGGCCTCCAGAGGCCGAGCACAGTACAAGACCTCCCGTCACGATTTGGTTCGCAGCGCGAGGTCGAGCGAGGGACCGAATCGAGCGCAGCAGGGGTGAGGGCAACATAAGGTTTCCCTGTGGCGTTCTTCCTCCTCCTTTTCCTCCTCCTCCTCCTCCGTTTTCGTCGTCCTCCTCCTCCTCCTGCTTTTCCTCGTCCTCGTCGTCCTCGTCGTCCTCCTTCTCCTCCTCCTCCTCCTTCTCCTCCTCCTCCTCCTCCTCCTTCTCCTCCTCCTCCTCCTCCTCCTCGTCCTCGTCCTCGTCCTCATCGTCCTCCTCCCCTTTTCTCTACCTCCGTCTACCTTCCTCCCCCGCTCCCTCCGCTTCTCCTTCTCTTCCTCCTCCTCCTCCTCCTCCTCCTCCGTCCTTCCCTCCCTCCCTCCCTCCCTCCCTTACCCCCTCCCTCCCTGCCTCCGTCTCGCCCTCCCCATCGGCCCATCCCCCGTCCGCCCTCCCTCTCCTCCCCCCTCTTTCCCCCCGTGTCTTTTGCTCCCCCCTTCGGCTCGGCTCCGGCCGGGGTCTGGCCCCTGCCCTCACCCCGCGAGGCGGTGCGTGGCGGGCGACGGGGGGCGCGGGCCGCCCGCGCGCGAGCCAGGGCGGCCGCCCTCGCCGAGGCGCCTTCGTCGACGCCGCCGTGCGTCGTCGTCCGTCGTCCCTCCTCGTCGTCCTCGTCGTCGTCGTCGTCGTCGTCGTCAGGGCCACGGACTGTTCGGATCCGCCCAGGCGCAGTGGCCTCCGCCCCCCTTTTGCCTCTCCCCGTCTAGCTGCATCGCGCCAGGACGTGGCAGAACCCCATGGCGGTGCGGCCGCGGGTGCTTCTCGCGCTGCTGTGTGGCGTGGCGAGCTCCGCGGGGGCACCAGACGCCAACGTCGCCAAGCACATGCGCAGCACCACCCTCGCGGGCTGGAGCCCGTTCAGCTTGAAGAACCAGGAGGGTCGCCTGGAGGCGGTCAGCGCGGAGTTCCGCAACATGGACGCTAGCTTCGCCCCAGGCACCAAGATTCGCAGCCGAGCAGGAGCCACACATCACAGACAACGCACGCAGCTTCACCATTGGGTTCATGTCGGATGGACTTGAGCAGCAGGTACTAATGCGAGCGCTGGGCGTAGCATTGGGCTCTCGAGAAAGCTGTATCGTGAAACGAATATCGCCCGTGCTGTGGCGGCCCCTCATCATCTACTGGGACGGGCCGGCGGTCTAGACGTCCAAAGGCGGCCACATTGTGTTAGGTGCATCGTAGCCTACTTCCCTTTTCGGCAGCACCTCGCTAGGGAACACCATTTCTGGAAGAAATCGTGTCTACAGCTATGGCTGTGGATCATCCATCATTTCGAGGTTACGCCTGAGCGGACGGTGCCGATCACGCTCAGCGATCTGAATGTTTGGTTTGGGTTGGGTTGACGGGTAATGGCGAGCGTGTGGACGCCAGCATCGGCTTATTTCGAGCTGGGCCCGAAGACGATCCTGTTCGCCACATTCATGTATACAGAACCAATAATGAGCTGAGTGCGATCAACAGCCATCGAAATCTAGGGCCCAGCTATTTCGACAACGAAGGCTCGCAGGACCGCATCGGTAACTTCAGTGCCCCGACCAACCTCAAGTATGTCGTAGCTAACACGACCACGACCTGGAACGCTTCAAGGCGACTCCACACGCTACCCGACGTCGACCACGCCCCGAGGATCATGTCAGTAAGTTCGCATTTCAGCGCCAAAACAGGACCGTGATCGATTGCAATGCAGATGGGGATGGGGGGCTACTGGCGGCGCGCCTACAGCAGGGACATCAACGGCTCGCTCTCTTCGAACCCTTACACGCTCAATCTGAACTCAACCGCGCCCGACTCACGCGCCTCACCGCAGACGCCAGCCCAACGCGTCACGCAGTAGTTGTGGGACGCCTTATCAGAAATATTGCAGCCCAGTTCTTTACTCGCGAAGGTAACGCGCCAGCCTGGGCCATCGAGGCTGAAGCTGAACGCGCCCGTCTACTCCAACAGCGCGCGCAACTCAGCGACGCTGGCCTCGACCCTCGCCGCGACGCGCTGCGACTCGTCGCCGCGCAGCTGAATCGGCGCACCGGGGCCCGACACCAGCGCCAAGATCCCATTGGAAAAAGGAAAAATCATTGCCTCCGTTGACTGCCGTCGCCCGTGTCTTCGGGCTCGCGCGTCCCGCGTTAATGAGTGCCAGCTCTGAGAGCGCGGGGACAAGGCGGGTCGTCTCTATTTTCCCTGGTGGGCGTTAAGATTTCCGCGAGCCGCGCGAGGCCCGCGGGCTGCGAGAACCCAGCCGGCCCGATGAACCCCGCAAGTCCCGCGCAGGTTTCTTGGGCAGCACGCGCGCCGCAGCGCGCACGGGCCGAATGCGCCGCGCTGGCCCAGCGAGCGGCGCGGGCCCCATGGGCCCCCTGACTCGTCGTCAGGGCCGCATCCGGTTTCTGGGTCTTGCGGATCCCGCAGACCATGGAGGGCCCCATGGGCCCTAGGGCCGCCATGAGCCCCATAGGGCGCTTTTCTATCGCGCAAGCCCCATGCCTTGCAAATTCGGAGAAAAACTAAGCCATCTCAAGCTGTCCAGGCTCATTTGGGTCGCTCCGCCCCCGCGGACAAAGCGCCCCCAACTTTTCCAGTGGCGTCTTGGTGCTGGTGCCGGCTTCTCGTTCCCTGCACCGTCAAAATCCGACGCCGGCGCCGAGGCCCCCTCTGGAACGGCGGCCCCATGGGCGAACTGAATCCCTCGACGATTTCGGAAGTTCGCCAGGCGCTGCGGGCCCAGGTCAAGAGGGGGCCGCGGTCTTTGGCCCCAGACGCGCAGGGCGGCCGCCGCACCTTTCTTGGCGGGGAGCGGTTCGGAGTCGTCGGGTGCTGGCTTCGGGCAAATAGAGGGTCAGGGATGCGACGCGGGCGGACAGAGGGCGGCCGCGGGGGGGGGGGGGGGGGGCATAGAGGGGGGGGCGAGCGGGCTGGGGGGCGCGCGGGGGAGGGCGTCGGTGGGGGGGGCGAGGCTTCGGTCATGGGGGATGCAGCATTCTTCCTTCTTTTCTCCCTCCTCTTCCCAGAGAGCGCCCGCCAGTTTCGCTTCTTGCTTGCACTTGTTTTTTCTTGCTCTTCCTCCTACCTGCTGCGCGACGTCTCCCTTCCCCCGCCCCCCCCGGCCGCCCCGCGTTTCCACGGGCCGGGGCGGGGTCGCGCTGGCCCAAAACGTTATTCAACATATCGCGGAACACATGCTTTCTTGGGGTTGGCGTCGGCTTTCTATGCTCCCACTGAAGTCGCGCTGGCGCTGGCGCAACTATTGGCGGCGCGCGTTGGTCGACGATGAACTCCTCGAAGCTTGGGCAGTGCGCAACCTCGCTCGAGTCGGCCATCTCGCGCGCATCCGCGCCGGCGCCCGCGCCGGCACCAGGGGGCTCAGGCATCTATCCGCCGCGCCCGCGAGACCTCGTGGACAGGCATTTCTCGCGGCGCTCGCCAAGCCAGCGGCGGATGGGAGGCGCGGGCGCGTCGTCGCACACTACCGGCATGCACTTGCAGGACGACGCCATTGTCGGGCAATTTTCAGCCCCTGTGGAGGACATCGCCCAGTTCGGCCCCGCCCAGCACTGCGCCGCGCACGCCGGCCTCGACGCGGCGGCGGGCGACCCCGGATGCATCGAGGCTCGCGCGTGGCATGGCGGTCTTGTCCTGGCGAAGTCATTGCGACTCTCTTCCGCCCGAGGTGCTTCGCGCGACCTGCGACGGACGCGCGAGGATTTGGCTTTGCAGATAACTACTGCACTCACACTTAACGGCGCGCCGAAGCAGAAGCACATGTTTGGCGACTTCGCAGCAATATGCCATTTTCAGAAGCGAACGTCGGCCGCGTCGCCCCCGGCCCACGCCCGCGCTGCAGGCGCGCTGCCGTCGCGAGCTACCGCGAGCCAGGTCGTCGCCATCAGGGAGAAGAACAAGGGGCCGAGTGGCGACGAGACCCGCGATATCAATCGCTGCAGTCTACTCCGCTGCTTCTGTCTCTGGCGGCGCCTGCGCTAGCTCGCGGGCCTGCGCGACCACGGGGGCCCCCTCGCCGCCCTTGCCTGGTGGCGCGGCGGCGTTCGCCAAGGACCCCGCGAAGGCCTCGCGCGACTGGTCATGGTAGTCATGCGGCGCCTGCGCGAAGCAGGACGACACTTCCTCGGCAAGTCCTGCGGCGCGCGGATCGCCTGCGCCACTGGCGACCGCCCCCCCTCACCCCCGCCCCGCGCGCGCCCCGCCCGCCCAGGCCCGCCGCGGCCGCGCCGACGACGAGCACTTCGCCGAGACGCCCACCCAGCATCGCGAGCAAGCAGTCCTTGCCATTGACGCCGGCGATTTGCGCGCGTCGGCCCGACCCTCCACGGGGGGGCGCATGGGCGACGGCAACGGGCCCGAGCTCTTCACGGCCGCCTCCCACGGTGGAGTCTGGGCCGGGCTGGAGGAAACCACCGAGCTCACTGGCGACGACCTCGCCGTCTAGCGCCGCGATCGCGGCCGCCGGGCAGCGCGTCTCCACGGGCGCCTTCGTCAACGACCAGGCGCGCATCTATGCTTTGCCTGCTGGAGCGCCTCTTGCACGACGGGCGCTCGCCGCGCGTCCACGTGCAGGCCGCCGCCAGACAACAGAGAAGCAGGACGCCCTCGCCCGCGCCACCGACGCCAGAGGCACTCGCGACATCGAGCAGCGCATCGCAGGCACAAGCGTTGCCAGCTGGATTTCACCTCGGGGGATTCATGGCCCCCGCCGTCTTCAACTACGCCGAGATGCAGGGGCGCATCAAGTCCGCGGCCGCGGGGTGGGCGCGACTGGGCAACTACTGGGCGGGTCCTGGACCGTGGAAGTATACGCGCAGCTTTTTGATTGCCAACGTCGCGGGCCGCGCCTGGCCCGCCATCGAGAGCCGCGCCTTCGCGCCGACAGAATACAACAAGCAAGACGCGTGCTTTGCCTCAAAGATGCGCACCGCGTTGCCAGGACAAGCTCGCCGAGAAACCGAAGACGGAGAACGTCGGAGCCGGACTGCAGAGTGCGTTGCGGGAGTGGCAATTCGCGCCAACCACCGCAGCGCCGATGACTAAGGGGCTCAATTTGTGGACGACCATCACTGCGCGTACTTCATGGCCGTCTTCTGATATAAATATGATTGATATTATTTTTGTTCGCGGCGGGGGGTCCCGTTGGAGATCTGCGCCAGGGCCAATGGCCTTCGAGCTTCTACATCCCCTCTACGCCAGTGAACAGTGGGACACCGACCCCGGCCCCCGCGACTATGGATTTTACATGTCAGCGCTTTGCATTTACGGCGACTCAGCGTAAGTGTAGGCGCCCTGTCGGCGAGATGTCGGCGAGACCATTGCCAACTGCCGCAGGAGGGCCCCGCGCGCGCGGCGACGTCCTGGGCCCGCTCGACGCGGCCGCGCCCGCGCCGGCACTCCCAGGGCGGCGCGTGCCACGGCCGCGGCTCGCAGTCTTTGAGGCGACGGCGGCGCTGTCCTTCGCGCGGCAGAGCCGCTGGCCCAGCCGAGGGCCCCTGCGCCCGCCTCCGTCGCCCCCCCCTGACCCTGCCGGCGGATAAGCGTAGATCGGGGTCGTCTCTTTTAAGGCAACTGGTGCAATATGAGTTTTTTGGGGCGTTGCTATAAAAGCGTGTTTCTGTTTATATCAGCTTTCTGGGGCTCTCCCGCGCGAGATTATTTGCCCCGGAAAAGGTTAGATTCATGTCGTACGGAGCTAAAACAAACTTTTTCTCGCCTGGTGCCTAAACTTTGCTTGGGGTGGATCTAAACTTTTCGATGCGCGCGCGTGCGGGGCGCGCCCCGGGCGCCGCGTGGGGTTCTTGACAGCGCCGCCAAGGGCCGACGTGCCCATGGGTTTTTTCCTTGGCACGGGCGCGCGAATGTCCGCAATGCTTTTGGGCATGGAACGCGTGCCAGCACAGGGAAACGCCAAGTTCAAACGCCAATGAGCATGGCCGCAGCGTGCCGTTCGCATTGAATGTCGCGCCGTTGTCGTTGGCTGACCGTCGAGCAGTTCCCCCTCTCAGTTCGCGCGTCGTTTGACGGTCCCATTAGTCTAAAGTTCCTCATGCGGGGGGCGACGGCGCCTCTGCGGTCCCCGACCGTCTCGAAGGCCCAGCCTCCAACCCTCTCGGCCCTCCAGGACCAGGTCCAGTGCCCCAGGGATTCCCAACTCAAGGGCGGTCCGTCAGCCCCCGACCCCGGAGAAGTCCAGGGATGCAGGGTGGGGGCGGGGCCTGCGGGGGGCCGGCAGCTCAGGCAGCTCGCCGAGCGGGGGGGCCCCCGCCGGCGGCGACCCAAAGTCGCCAGGCCCCTCGTCCTCGTAGGGCGCGGCGGCTGCAGAGTCGCCGCACGTGGACGAGTAGCGCTTGCATTGCGGCCCGGGAGCTCGGGCAGCTCGCCGAGCGGGGGGGCCCCCGCCGGCGGCGACCCAAAGTCGCCGGCCCCTCGTCCTCGTAGGGCGCGGCGGCTGCAGAGTCGCCGTACGTGGACGAGTAGCGCCCGCATTGCGCCCCGGCGCTGGCGGGGCCGGGCAGGCTCCAGGCGTTGCCCAGCGGGAGCCCGCCGAACATGAACCCGATCGCCAGCTGTTCGCCCTTGGGCAAGCCGATGGGTCCAGCTGTCCTCGTCGCGCTCATCAGGCCGGCGAGCAGAGGGGTGGCCAGCGACTATGCGCGGCGGGCAGTCGCCGATGCAGCGCAGCGGTCGACCGCTCCCTTCCTCCCAGCATGGGTGCCTGACAGAGGGTGTTCGTCGCCAAACCAGCGCCCTGGCGCCGAGCAGCCTGGGATGGCCGCCCGCGTCGGCTTCCGAGGCCCCCCCAAATCTTGTGCGCCTCCGAGGTGGGCATCCAGAGTACCCGGCCTTAGGCCACCCGAGGCATCCAAAGTTCAGCGTTTACAGCAAACAAGTAATTAACTCGTCGTGGGTCGTCGCCGGGCGTCGTCGTCGTCGTCGTCGTCGTCGTCGTCGTCGTCGTCGTCGTCGTCGTCGTCGTCCGTCATCATCGTCGTTCGTCGTCGGCGTCGTCGTCGTCGGTCGTCGCCGTCGTTGTCGTCATCGTCGTCATCGTCGTCGTCGTCGCCCGTCGTTCGTCGTTGGTCGCCGTTCTGCCGCCGTCCGTCGTCGTCCGTTGCCGCCCGCCGCTCTCAGCGCCCGGCCGGCTCTCGTCGTCCGTGGTCCGTCGTCGTTCGTCCGCGGCCGGCCGCCGAAGGCCCTCGCGGGCGGACAGCGCGCGCGGGCGGCCATCGCGCGGCGAACGGCCCGCGGGGCGTGGTCGCGCGGGTTCCGCTGGCGCCGGCCCCGGCGGGGGAGGGGGGATGGCAACAGGGCTACCATTCTGATGCCCCTGCTTCGTTTCCCACCCTGCTGGCCTCTTGAGAGGCCCTCGTCGCCACCGCTGGGTTCGCCTGGAGACTCTGGTCAGGGCGCACCCCAGGAGAGAGTCGGAGAGTAACGGTATCAGTACGTCTCCCTTGGGGCGATCGAAATAGGTACGGAAGCAAGGGCCACACGGTCCAGCAGCGGCTCGATTTCATGCTGAACAGGGAGTCTGCCGTCGGCGTCGCCGCGGTCGTTGTCCATGTGAGAAAGACGGGCCACCTGGCGAACAGCGGCCGCTGCCGGTTTCTGGCAGCATTTGCTGCTGGGCATCGTGCCCATGCTTTCCGTATCCACTTCGGGCGTCCATCGGAGAGGGGTTTGGGAGATGTTTCGAGGAGCAGGCTAAACATACAATGGGGCCCCATGCCCAGAAACACCCTGCTTGCCTCCAGGGTGCCCTGGGTTTCCTTGGTTTCGATGGTCTTGCGATGGAAAGCTCGATGTTCACACACCAAAGATCAATTGACGTCCTGGGTCTCAGGGTTGGGTTTCTTGTGAAACGCTTCTCGCGGTCGAGCTCCTGCTGTAAATTTCTGGAGGTCCGCGCGGATCTCTCGGATCGGCGCTGGGAGGGCCTTCGTGGCGCTTGCGGCGCCGCCCCTGGCGCGCTCTGCGCGCCAGGGAGGAGGGGTCCATCGCCGATTCAATAACCCTGCGCGGACCTTCAAAAGTTCATGTTTATGTTTCTTGCTGTCAGCAGGGGAAAACACTGAGCCTGGCGAAGGACCCAACAATATGAATTTGTGAATACCGCAGTTGTGGGTATCGACTTTGGTGGAGCTCCCGTGGGCCTTCGGTGGAGCTCCCTATGGGGCCACGAAGCGTTGTAAAGGGTTGGAGAGAAGCATTCGAACTTTGCCAATGTGGCCTTCGGTGGAGCTTCCTCTGGGCCACGACACGCTGTACTGGGTAGGGGAAACGAATGTTGACTTTGCCACTGCGGCCTTCGGTAGAGCTCCCTATGCGGCCACGAAGCGTTGTGCTGGGTGGGTGAGACGCATGTTGACGGTGCCACTGGGGCTTTCGGTGGAGCTCCCTATTGGGCCGGGAAGCGCTGTACTGGGTGGGGCGACGCATGCGGACGGTTCCACTGGGCCCTTCGGTGGAGTTCCTCATGGCGCTACGAAGCGTTGCAGTGTGGGGGAGACGCATACGGAACGTGCCACTGGGGCCTTCGGTGGGGTGATCTATGGGTCCACGAAACGTTGTATTGGGTGGGTGGGACGCATGTGGGCGGTGCCATTGAGGCCTTCGGTGGAGCTCCCTGTATGGCCACGAAACGTTGTGTTAGGCGGGGTGAAATCTTGCAGACGGTGACGTGGCCGCCGTCGGTGGAGCTCCCAAGTGGGCCACGAAGCGCTGTACGGGGTGTGGGGGACGCATGCGGGCAGTTGCATTGGAACCTTCGGTGGAGCTCCCTATAAAGCCACGACACGCTGTACTGGATGGGGGGGTCGCATGAGGGCGGTAGCACTGGGGCCATAGGTGGAGCTCCCTATGGGGCCACGAAGCGCTGTACTTGTAGGGCGGGACACCTGCCGGAGGTAGCACTGGGGCCATAGGTGGAGCCCCCTATGGGGCCACGAAGCGCTGAGCTGGTTGTGGGGGACGCATGCGGGCGCTAGCACTGGGACCTTCGGTAGAGCTCCCTATGGGGCCACGAAGCGTTGTACTCTGTGTGTGGTGTGTGTGTGTGTGTGTGCGTGTGTGTGTGTGTGTGTGTGTGTATGTGTGTGTGTGTGTGCGTGTGTGTGTGTGTGGGGGGGGGGGCCCTGCGGGCGGTAGCAATGGAGCAGGCGGCCCCGAAAGCGCTGTACTGGGTGTTGGGGACGCATGCAGGTGGTAGTACTGGGGCTGTTGGCGGAGCTCCCTATGGGGCCACGCCACGCTGTACTGGGTAGGGGGACGCATGCGGGCGGTAGCACTGGGACCTTCGGCGAAGCTCCCGATGGGGCCACGAAACGCTGTACTGGGTGTGGGGCACGCATGCGGGTGGTAGTACCGAGCTCCCTATGGGGCCACGCCACGCCGCATTGGGTAGGGGGAAGCATGCGGGCGGTAACACTGGGACCTTCGGTGGAGCTCCCGATGCGGCCACGAAGCGCTGTGCTGGTTGTGGGGGACGACGCGCGCGGGCGGTAGCACTGGGACCCACGCTGTACTGGGTGGGGGGGGACGCATGCGGGCGGTAGCATTGGGGCCATAGGTGGAGCTCCCGATGGGGCCACGAAACGCTGCACTTGGTAGGGCGGGACACCTGCGGGAGGTAGCACTGGGGCCATACGTGGAGCTCCCTGTGCGGCCACGAAGCGCTGTGCTGGTTGTGGGGACGCATGCGGGCGCCAGCACTGGGACCCTTTCTTAGCTGTGTGCCAGGCTCGCGCGGCGCGAGCTCAGGGTTCAGGCAGCCGCACTGCTGGCGGCCGCGGGGCACAGGCGGCAGGCGAAAGCCTGGACACGGGGCGCTGAGTAGCAGAGGAGCGACCGAGCCAAAACGGCCAGCACACCGCCGCTCAGCCAGACCCCCCAGTTCAGCGAGCCTGCGCCTTCGGCTGCGCCTCCTTCGGCGGCAGCCCGATCCTGATCGTCTGGACCTTCTCGAGGCGATGCTGCAGGCCTCGAGCGCTATCGGGGAGCTTGCACTCCGCTGCTGAGAGGCCTCTGTGCCTGCCACCGACCACGCGAGCATAGCAATGGCACTTGGGCCAAATGCGGTACCCGTTGACGGTGACAAGCTAGTGCTCGCCGCTGGCCACCCCAGGGACACCAGTGCCATCACTTGCGAACGACGCGGAGGCAAAGGGTCCAGGGGAGCTCTCGAGGGCAACCAACCGACGGCGAGCGGCGAGCAGCGAGAGAGCGGCGAGCGAACTCAAAGCCACACTGCGACAAGACCTTGCTGCTGCACCGCTGTGCCACAACGCCTGAAGGAGAACGCTGGCTGCACTGAGCAGCCAGGGCCCACAGGAGGCTGCAGCGGGGCCCACAGGAGGCTGCGACGGCCCTGGGGGGCGGCCATAGGGTACTCGCCGAGCTCCTCCCCTACCACCACCCCCGTGGCTGCGGATCCCGCCCACGCTGCCAGAGGCAGCGGCACGTTTCCCGCTCCTCGTGCCGACAGCGACCCCCGAACGGGGGCCCGCGGCATTCGGAGGGCCCACGGGCCCCACGACAGCCATTTCCTCCACGAGACCAGAGCCAACAGGGGCTTCTGCGGCGGGGCCCGCAGGAGGTCCAGGCTGGAGGTCCGCAATGCCAACATCAGCGGGGCCTACGCGAGCCTCACTCACAGACGACGCACCTTTTGCCTCAGCAATCGGCCGGACAGCCTCGCCCGAGCTGGCCCCAGAAGCCGCCGACAAAAAGTAGGCGATCTTCTGCTGGGTCGTCTTGGGGGCCTTGGCGGTCTCCCTAGTGTCGTCGGTGCCGCTGCATTGCTCAGACTCGCCAGCCGCCGTCATGGCAGCGATGGCCGCCGCCGCCGTGGCGCCACGAAACGTCGCATTGGGGGGAGGGGATGCATGCAGGTGGTAGTATTGGAGCTGTTGGTGGAGCTCTCTAAGGGGCCACGACACGCTGTACTGGGTTGGGGGAGGCATTCGGGCAGTAGCACTGGGACCTTCGGCGGAGCTCCCGCACGCATGCGGGTGGTAGCACTGGGACCTTCGGTGAAGCTCCCCATCGGGCCACGAAACGTTTGAGGAGTGTGCCGAAATGGTCGACTGATGCGAAGAGCATCGGCAGGTATGGGAGGAGGGAGGGGGGGAGGAGGAGGAGGAGGAGGGAGACGCGGGGCGCTGTCTTTTCAAAACGAGGACCCATCATCACGGGATGTTTGGGGAAAACACTGCAAACTATTGGCAAGTTTGGGAGCTGTGTGTGTTTATTTGTGTATCCCTGGGCGCCTTCGGCTGTTCCGTGGGGAGAGGGTCCTGAAGATGCTGCGCCCCGTGGGGGCCCCTCCCTGGCCCCATGACCGTCAGAGGACGACCAGGGCTGAAAGGGTTGGCCGCCAAGGCATTCCCGGGGCCCAGGACTCATTTCCTTTTTGTGGCCAGGCGTTTTCGGTCGTCGGGCCTCGTCGTCGTCGTCGTCTTCGGTCTTTGTCCCCGTCGGTCGTCGTGCATTGACGTGTCGTTCGTCGTTCGTCGTCGCCACTCGTCGTCGGCCGAGCTGGCCATGGCCCCAGCCCCAGCGGTGTGGGGGATGCCAGGGTCGAGGAGAATCGAGGACGGAGCACCAGAGCAGGATATGATGAAGGAGAATCGGGAAACTCATGGGATCGACAGACCAGCCACTTTGGGGTAGTTTTGGTCTTAACACCCCGCTTCGGCACCCTTCTCGAGAGATCGTCGAGACGATGCTCATCCAGTTGTGGCCGGTCGGATGGAGGGGGTCTTCGAGACAAGGGTCGACGAGGGCGGTGAGTATCGAGGGGATTCGACGGCGAGAGTGGCGACGAAGGACGGCTAGGGTCGAGGGGGTCGACGTGAGAAATTCGACGAGGATCGAGGAGCACCGATGGACGGCGAGAGTCGAAGGACACGAGGAGGATAATCTCTGGCGATGATTGCGAGGAGGACCGAGGACGGCGATGATGGAGCAGGACGCGTGGGCTCCAGTCCTAGGCCCGGCGGGCCTCATTGTCGTCGTCGTCGTCGTCGTCGTCGTCCGTCGTCTCCGTCGTTCGTCAGCGTCCATCGTCGTTGTCGTTCGTCGTCGTCCGTCTTCGCTGATGCCGTCGTCGTGTTCGTGGTTCGTCGTCGTCGTCGTCCGTCGACCTCGGTCGGCGTCGTGGATCGTCGTCGTCGTCGTCGTCGTCGTTCGGCGTCTTCGTTCGGCGTCGCCGCCCGTCGTCGGCCGTCGTCCTCGTTCGTTCTTTGGTTATTGGTCATTCGTCGTTGTTCGTCATTCGCCGTCGTCGTCGTTCGTCGTCCTCGGTCGTCGTCGGTCTTTTTCGTCGTTGTTCGTCTTCGCTGGTCATCGTCGTCAACATTCGTCATCGTCCGTCGTCGTCCGTCGTCGTCGTCGTCGTCGTGGTCGTCGTCGTCGTCGTCGTCGTCGTCGTTGTCGCCGTCGTCAGCCGCGCTGGCTCTGCCTGGCCCCTGTTGGGGGGATTGACATGGATGATCCACGACGATTTCGACGCCGACGTCCTCTGTTCGGATGTTCTTGGGCGCGTCTGGAAGCTGTCGTCACTACGCCTAGAAGAGGCTCTCAAAGTGGTTCGACCACTGTGAGTGGATTTTGGGCGAGGCCGAATCGAGGATCGAGGATGATCGACGCGCTTCGAGCAGCAAAGCGCAGCCTATTCGCCGCATTCGGCCCCTGGAGGCCGCCGTCGGGCCTGGAAGCAAGGAAGACAACGGGGACGACGAGCGATGACGACGACCACGGTTTTTGAAAGTGGTGGCCTGTTTCTGGACGTCCTGGGTTGCCCTTGTCGCCACGGCTGAAGTTGCCTCGAAGTTCTGGTGGCCAGAGTGCGCCAGAGGAGAGATCCAGCTTTTGATTTTTTCAGGGTGGTGAGTTGGAGGATCGAGGGCCATCGAGGACTCAGGGTTCGAACACATCGAGACCATTGTTCCTCACCATCTTCCTTGTCCAGGGGTCGTCTTCGGTCCCCAGGTCTGTGAAAAACGATATGGTACGAAATACCTATCCTAAGGAAGGGTTCGAGAGCTCTGGTGGCCACGCATGGGAAAATAACGACGTCGGAGGTCTGGGATAAGCATCGAGGCTGCTGAGCGTCTATGACTAGTTGTTCATGCTCTCGTTTGCCTCTCCTTCGAGTGGTCGTCGTCCTCCTGCTCCTCCTAGTCTTAAGTCGGGCCTGTCCCCCTACAGGAGGCAAGTCAAACATCTTCAAAAAATAGTCAGGGAACGATTTTCGATCATTTTTGATGTTTCAAAGTGCTTTCTGACTGTTCTTCAGCTTGCGCTTACAATCCGCCTGCAGGAGGACATGCCCAACCTGATCCTGGCCCATCCCCCCTGGTCCTCCCGATGCAGCTGCTGCTCCTCTGCCCCCCCCCCCCGCCTGTGCACCGCCCGTGGCCTCGACTCCTCTCCTCCGGCGGCTTCACTGCGGGGCCGTCGGGGACGCTGTGGGCACCCGGGCCGGATCCCCGCACGGCCGCACCGCTTTCCAGCCGGCGTCGGGCCGCTCCGGGCGCGGCGAGGTGCCACTCTGCCGTCGCGGAGCCGCCAGGATCGCCCCAAGATGGCCTCGCGGAGGCCCCGAAGGGGGCCCCAATGGAGGCCCGAGAGGGCCCCGAGACGGCCCAAGTGGCGCCCAAGACGGCCCAATGAGGGCCCCAAGACGGCCCCCCAAAGGGGGGATTACATATATGCATGAGAGAGAGAGAGGGAAAGGGAGGGAGAGAGAGAGAGAGAGAGAGAACGAGTCAGCAAGAGAGAATGAGAGAGGGGGAAAGAGAGCGAGAGAGAGAGAGAGAGAGATAAAGGCAGGAGAGAGAGAGAGAGAGAGAGAAACAGATAATGCAACATAGAAACGATCGAGAGAGAGAGAGAGACAGAGAGAGAAAGAGAGAGCGAGCGAAAGAAAACGAGAGAGAGAGAGAGAGATAAAACAACTAGTTTTGAGAGTGACGAAAAATGGAGTGGGATATATTTATATTTATATATATATATATGTGTAGACATACATACATATAACTGCAACTGTACATATACATATACATTTACATACATATATAGATGCATATGCCTCCTTGGGATGGATTGGGTGCCGCCGGACGAGACAATGGGAAATGTTGGGAAGAGAGAGAGAGAGAGAGAGAGAGAGAACAAGAGAGAGAGAGAGAGCGAGAGAGGAAGTCACAATGGCAGCCAGTCAACATAGGTTCAGCAGGCGCCCTCGTGCGAGACGAAGGGCAACACGGCAGACGCACTGCCAGGTGGGCATCTTGGGACGGTCCAACACACATCCCAACACCATCTGGGCAGAGTACCGGCCGAACCACGAAATAGAGCTGGGAGGGCGGGCGAAACCCATTCGTTTGTCCATTGTCGCCGCGGTTACCTTGTCCAGGCAATCCGCGGCGACCTGTGGACGTTGGCTTGCCTTCTGGCTTGCCGGCGGCAGACCCCCGTCGAGGGTCTGCGCCGAGTCGCGCGGGCCTGCCCTGTCCAGGCAGGGCCCCTGTCCCTTGTCCAGGGACTGCGGCTGCCGGGTGGGTTTGCCTTACCCAGGCCGGGACCTGTTCCTTGTGCAGGAACCGCAGCTTGCCTTGTCCAGGCGGGGGCCCGCTCCCTTTCGGGGAGCCGAGCGTAGGCGCGAACGCCTAGTACACAAGGACCATTTGCCCTTGGCTTCCCTGGGCGCGCCCCGTCGGAGGCCTGCGTGAATGTGCGAGCGCCTGGTGCGCGAGGACTGTTTGCCCTTGGCCGTCCTGGGCGGCAGCAGGGCGGCGGCGGCACAGCGGAGGAAGGCGGAGAGGCCGCAAGCCCGCAGTCGCGGGCAGGAGGCGGCCAAACAGAACAGGCGAGGGTCCAGGAGCCCGCTCCTCGCGACGGTCCAGCCCCAGGAATCAGAGATTTGAGGGCCAGGAGACAGAGAAAGGGTATACGTATAGAGGGGGAGAGAGCGCGGGGCCTGCGCCCGCGGGCACAGGGGAAGAGACGGTGAATCGCGCAGGGAGAACGGCCTCAGGAAAGGTGGCCACAGCTCAACAACAAGACAAGCACACAATGCTCTGACGAGTAGTCTCAGCGCACGGGGCGCAAGCAAGAGTTCCGAATCCACTTCCGAAATCATGCTTCGTTCAGGACCTCATCATTGTGCGTGTTTTTTTATAGAAAAAACAAAAAGCTAAAAGGGATCCCAAACTCGCAGCATGCGCATCTGCACTGTCTCTTATTGTCTACAACTATCTAGGCAGCAGGCCTGGATTCAATCTGGTCCAATCACCTCCGACGGAGAGTTGCCCCATCACAAGCCTGATATCGCTACATCGTATATCAGTTGGCTGACTACCGCACGCATGGGTCGATGCGATAGAATGACGCAGTTATTGGCTTGTGTATGTAAACAGAGAAAACGAGAGATATTTCGGACAGAGAGAGAGAGAGAGAGAGAAAGAGAGAGCTTGGTGGGAGGGAGGGAGGAGCTAATACATAGAAGAGGGGAAGAGACAAAAAAAACAAAACACAACACGAAAGAGAGAGAGAGAGAATGAGAAAGAGACATGACCAAACAAGAGAAAAGGGAAAGTGAGAGAGAGAGGGAGAGAGAGCGGACGGGAGGCTGTAGGTTCCATGTGCAGACCCAAGTGCCCACAGCGTTCCTTCCTGCAGGGGCGCTGGGCTGATTCGGCACCTCCACTGGTCGGAGCAGGGAGGGTTGAGACAGCGGCAGCTCAAAATCGCTCCCTGAACCCCTCCCGGGGTCCATACGCACCAGTTTTCCTTGCTGATTCCAGCCGTGGCGACGAGGGCCCTTCCCCGAAGGCCATCTACTCTGATGGTGAATTTTATGGATCTTGCATGTTTCAATCGGTCGCAGCAGCGGGGAGGGCGCGCGTTGCGACTCCTCTGCCTCCGCTGAGTGGAGGCCCCCCTCCCGAGCACAGTCGTCTCATCTTGCCCTCCTCTGGATAGGGGGCCCCGCCTCCCTCGGTCGGCGCCGATCGGCGACAGTGGTGCCGGCGGTGCGGGGCACAGATCGGCGATCGCTGCCTCCGGTGCGCCACCACAAAGGCGGCCCGATCGGCGCCATCGGTGCGGGACCTCCGTCCCGGGGGGCGCCGGCGCTGAAGAACCTGGAGGCTGCCTCGGCGGCGCGCCAAAGGGGGCTGGGCGTCGGGCGCGGCCTCCTGAGGCTTCTATTGTGCTTGAGGAGTGAGTGCCCAGATTCACGATGGGAAAAAACACAGTGGCACAATTAATCGTCGATCTCCAGGGAAATATGGGAAAATTGGGGAAGTGGGGGGGGGATGCGGAATCTCAATAAATATGGGAAATCTGGGGAATCTTGGGATTTGACTCTATTTATCTTTGAGTCCCGGAGCCCCTTCATAGACCTCCGGCGCGTTGGAGAAATCCCGCCCCTCAGAGGCTCTCTGCCCCCCTCAGAGGCTCTCCTGCCCCTTCTTCTTTTTCAGGGGGGGCTCGTAGTGAGGCTCCCAGGCTAGGGCAGGGCCCCTCTGAGATCGGGGGGGGGGGGAAGGGGGCGACCCCTGGGGCGGTTCGGACGGGGCCTCGCCTTCGCGGCGTCCTCGCCCTCGTCGGAAGCTGGCGGAAGGCCAGCGCGGCGCTCTTCCTGTGCCTCACTGTCCTGGGGGTCGGTCCCGCCTTGTGCATTCGGGGGCTCCAGTCGATGAAGTTCGGTGGCGCCGATGGCTTGCATTCGTGTGTAGGCCTCGGTAGACAGTGTTTCTACAGTGGGAGCCTGTGCCAAGAAGCACCCTGCTCGCTTCCAGGGTGCCCTGGGTTTCTTGGGCTTCGATGCTTTTGCCATGCATGGAGAGCGTGACGTGCCCACACCAAAAAAGTCAGTGGACGTCCCGGGGTCTCAGGGCTGGGTTTGTTGTGGGAGGGTTTCTTGTGGTCGGGCCCCTGCTGTGGCCCAACACTGGGCCTCCAGAGCTTTGGCTCGTGTGCAGAGGCGAGCTGGCGGCGGCAGCGTCGCCGCCAGAAGCTCGGCGGAAGGAAGCGGTGCGACTCCAGCGCTTTGGGGCGCCGGGCTTCTGGAGCGGGCCACGTGGGGCGAGGCTTGGCCTTCGGTCGGGCATGTCCCTCTACAGGAGGAGTACTCAAAAATAGTCCAACCATAGTCTGGGGGACGATTTTCTGTTTTTGTAAATTTGGTGAGTATCTAATTTGGCTTTCAACATCTGCCTCCTGTAGGAGGACATGCCCGACCTAGGGTTGGCCAGGCGGGAAAAACACACAAACACACACACACACACACACACACACACACACACACACACACAACGCACGCACGCACGCGCACACACACACACACACACACACACACACACACACACACACACACACACACACACACACACACACACACACACACACACACACACACACACACACACACACACACACACACACACACACACACACACACACACACACACACACACGCGCACGCGCACGCGCACGCGCACGCGCACGCGCACGCGCACGCGCACGCGCACGCGCACGCGCACGCGCACGCGCACGCGCACGCGCACGCGCACGCGCACGCGCACGCGCACGCACGCACGCACGCGCACGCGCACGCGCACGCGCACGCACACGCACACGCACACGCACACGCACACGCACACGCACACGCACACGCACACGCACACGCACACGCACACGCACACGCACACGCACACGCACACGCACACGCACACGCACACGCACACGCACACGCACACGCACACGCACACACACGCACACGCACACGCACACGCACACGCACACGCACACGCACACGCACACGCACACGCACACGCACACGCACACGCACACGCACACGCACACGCACACGCGCACATACACACACACACGCACACACACGCACACACACAAGAACACACACGCACACCACCGTCGATGCTCCGGAAAATTTGGGAGAAGATGGGAAGTGTGGGGGAGGGAAGACGACATCCCAGAAAGCAGGACAGGGAACGACAAGGGGAGTCCTGCGACTCGTGTCCACTTCTCGGTGTGTCCCTGGGCCCCTTCACTTGGGGGCGCAGAAGGGGTGCCCACGGAAGAACGCCCCGCTGCCGGGCTCTGTGCCCTCGAGTTACGTGCCGCGTCCGCCCCGGCCGCGGGGGAAGGTCGCTGGGAACCAAGCCGCACGCAGCGGATTCCCCTCGGCTTAAGTCGGCCCTGTCCCTCTACAGGAGGAATATTCAAAAATAGTAAGGAAATCGTCTGGCGACGATTTGTTGACAGTATTTTTGATCATTTTTGAACATTTGTTTGACTGTTTTTATTTGTCGTCTAAAATCCCCCTGTCAGGGGACAGGCCCGACCTCACTCTAGGCCTCCTAGGTGGGGTCGGGGTTGGAGGATCGCGACGCATCGCCGATGCATCGCCGATGCCGCTCGATATGGAACCCGACTTGCTTCACGTCGACGTCGCCGATGCATCGCCCGCGTCGACGATGCATCGCCGATGCATCGCCGCTGTATCGGCGATGCGGCGCGATCCTCCGACACCATCTACTCCGACCCCATCTAGGAAGCCTCTAATTCCCGAGCCTTGGGCAGCAAAACATGGGAGCATGGCGAAGCTCCCGCCTGAGACTTCCTCAAAATTCAGGCTGAGGAGCCTAAAACTGATGACAGCTACATGTTCCCAATGACCCGCTCGGATAAAAAACGCGAGGCGCGGGACCCGTAGGCAGGGGGGCTCCCGCCTGAAACATCTTCGAAATTCACGCACAGACGAAGCTCCCGCCTGGCCTGAGACTTCCTCCACAATCAAGCCGCACCAGCCCTAACTGACGATGGTTACAGGTTCCCGCTCGGACTCGAACATGAGGTGCGGGACCCATTAGCAGCAGCCTCCCGCGATTCACGTACAGACGAGGCTCCCGCTTGAGACTTCCTCAAGATTCAGGCCCGAGGAGCCCAAAAGTGACGACAGTTACATATTCCCAATGACCAGCTCGGATTAAAATCGTCCCGCCGGAGACTTCCTCGCAATTCACAGGCGAGGCTCCCGCCTGAGACTTCCTCAAGTGTGGGTGTGACTGAGTGAGTGAGTGAGTGAGTGGGTGAGTGAGTGAGTAGGTAGGTGGGTGGGTGAGTGTGTTTGTGGGTGTGTGTGAGTGACAGGGTGAGTGAATGAGTAAGTGAGTGGGTAAGTGGGTCATGATTATGCTGCTGATGATGATGTGTGTGACTGAGTGGGTCGGTAGGTGGGTAAATGAGTGGGTGAGTGCGTGAGTGATGATGATGATGGTGATGATGGTGATGATGATGATGATGATGATGATGATGATGATGATGATGATGATGATGCTGAATGTGTGAGTGAGTGAGTGAGTGGGTGAGTGTGCGAAGGGAGAAGAGAGGGGGTGGGAGGAGATCCTGCGCGGAGGTGCGCAGAGAAAACAATAACCCCACTTGTGATGTGGGGAAAATTGAACCACGCTGTAAACAAATTGTATCCACGTGACTCCAGCGCAGGTGCACTGGGATTCGATTGGGTCCTTGCTGTTCTAGGCAAGAGAAAGCTTTCGATGCCAGATTTTTCGGACTCCATGCCCCGAAATGTCAGACTGGCAAATACGCCGCGATTGTTGTCAAACGCGCCATGTGTGCTCGCGGGGGGCACGCATGTTGAGAGTACAAGTTTTGAAAGCAAGCCCTCGCTTACTCTGCGGTCACGGATCTCCTCCTCGTTGTTGTCCTCCTCCTCCTCGTCGTTCTCGCGTTTCTTGCTTCCTCTCTGTGTCCTCCTCTTTTTGTGTCATCCTTCTTTTCCGCGTCACGCAATCATCTTTGCGGCGTCCCAGATTTGGTGCCCAAAGCCCGTAGAGTCTTAGCAGTGGTCTGCAAATCCAAGATTGCGTCGTGACCAATTCCTGTCTCATCCCCAGTCGGAAGCAGTATGGTATATTTGTTCTGGCGAAAAGGCTACACCCACACAGCTTCTGCGCCAACAACTCGTACATATGCGATGGAGAAGCTGGATGCACGTGGCTCTCACTCAGACGTACTGGGATCCAATCGGATCCAAGCTGCCCCATGTAAGAGGAGGAGCAACTTGTGGCCCGGGGATGTAGGAAGGGGCAGGACCCTTCTGAGAAGCCCCCTGCCTCCTTAGAAGCCCCCCCCCCGTCGACCTGCCCCTGCCGGGGCGCCCGCAGAGGCAAGCCCGTCGCAGAGGGACGGCGGGCTCACGTACTACGGCGCGCAGAAGCGGCAGCGGGACGACCCGGGCGGCCCCGGCTCCGACGCGGGCGACTTGGATGTAGGTGCCAAGGATCTCCCACGTGCTCCAACCCCCGATGTTTCGACGAAGAATGGAGCCGCTCAGAGAACGGGGGGAAGCCCCGGGAGACACCCCAAGGGGGCTATTCGGACGCACCCCTATCGAGGATAGAGGCCCCCCTATCGTATATCCCAGGGTTGGGCGCCAACTTTCTGGTCCGTTCGAACACCCCAAAGCCTGGGGGTAGGGTCGACGCATCCCATGTTGCATGCGTTCTGGGGCAGCCAAGGCTCCGAGATGAGCACCGCTGCGGGCTCAGGGGAGTGCAAGATTTATACCCAAGTCCAGTGCGTCTTGGTCTTTCTTGGAAGGGGTGCCACAAGGCCGAAGCGCACTGGACGTGGGCAAACATCGAGCTCCTGGGGGGCAACTTCATCCATGTCCAGTGCGCCTCGGGCTTCTGGGGAAGGACCCGGAGATCCTGGCGTCTCCATTTTTTCGAGCCAGGCGTTTCCGCATCTCTTCGGTCCCCGGGGGCCCTCACAGATCGGTCTGGCTCGACAGATGACGCAGAAAGATGGGGTTCAGGGCTCCGGTCGTGTTTTTTTATACGAGGGTCCAATTTTCTCGCGACGTCGGAGCTCGGGGTGGCCCGCAGCCCCGTGCTGCGGTGGCTGTGGACAGAGGTGCTGCCCGCAGAGAGAGAGGGCTCCGGTGGTCGGGCCGCCCCACCGACTCGGGCCCGGGACCCCCTCGCTCTCGTGGCCGACCTCCTCCTCCTCCTCCTCCTCCTCCTCCTCCTCCTCCTCCTCCTCCAGTTTTTCGGCTCGCGAGGAGCTGCCGCCCCCCTTCGGGCGCCTGCGGGGTGCAGGCGAGGGGGATTCGGCTCCCGACGCGCGCTGAGACTAGCGCTCGCGCGACGGCGGCTCCCAGGGAGGCCGCCGCCCACCATCGAGCGCGACTTCGACGCAAGGAGGATCGCGCCCTCCTCCACGCCTGGGCGGGTCGCCTGTCTCCAGGCCTGGCGGCGAGGCTGCGCAGTGCGGCCCAGCGCCTGGACAGCCATCACGGCTCCTCAGCAGGGGCTATGGCGCCAGCGCCGGCCAAAGCGCAGGAGCAGCAGCCGCGGCAGAGGGTGCTACGAGGTTCGAAGAAGCCATACTGGAGCTGCTCCTGTGGCATGGACGGCAATTGGGCGTGCCGCATCGAGTGCACCTGTGGCAAGCATGCGCCCCAGCGCATCATCAACGCGGCCAAGAAGGCAGATGCTGCTGCACGAGCAGGTGATGCACCGTCAAAGCGAGCAGGAGGAAGCGGGCTCTCCGAGAAGCCCGCCCCTTGGTGCTCCAAGTTCAAGCTCATGGAAGCAGAGCTCGCGAAGTTGCGGAGTCTCGTCGGCAAAAGTGGCCCCACACCATGGACTCGGTCGGAAGGCGACCAGCACCAGGTCACGGAAGAGAAGAACGAGAAGGACCCCAGCTTCGCCAAGAGGACGGCCCTGCAGGAGAAGATCAACTATCACGAGCGCGCCCTCAAGGAAGCTGTCAAATATGAAGAGCAGGATGGTGCGGCACACGCGTACCACAAGGCAGAGATTGACAAGCTCAGGGAGCAGATCCGCGACCTGCGGCCCCCAGCAACGGCGTACAAGCTGGCGTCGCAGAAGCTGGAGCGCAGCAGAACGCAGCTCGACAAGCTCACGAAGGATCACGAGGAGATGCTGCTGCAGCTTCAACGACTGCAGGAGAAGATTTCGGAAAAGTCGTCATCGATCGAGGCGAAGAAAGTCGAGGTTGAGCAGTTCAAAGCGGAGGCAGAGCGTCATCAGCGGCAAGTGCAAGTTGCCCGAGGCGAAGCTTCCGATGAAGCTGGTCCGATCATCCCCGAGGATATCATGGCGCTCGACGTCAACCTCACGGACTTCCAGGAGGATCCAGGACTGCTGCAGTTCTATCAACAGTGCCGTGCTGACGCCAACTTCCAGAAGCTGCAAAAGCTGGTGCAGAGGAAGCTGGAGGTGTCCATCTCCAAGTCGCCTGCGTCAAGTAATGGGACGCAAGTTCCTGTTGGCCATGATTCTGATGACGGCCTTGATGGGTCAAGTAGCGGAGGCGAAGGCAACGCCAATGGCGAGAACGGCGAGTCCTCCAAGCGGGCCAACGGCATCCAGTGGACCACGGAGGACGTCGAAGCTCTTCATACCAAGCTATGCAAGGGAGAACAAGGCAACGACATCTCCATGGACCAGCTATCCGACATGGTGGCCGATATCCAGAAAACCAAGTTTCGGAAAACAGATGAAGTGTCCGCAGTACCAACAGGAGGGTGTAAATCCTAGCACCCTGCCGAGAATAAGTGGGCTTCTCGTACGTCGTGGAAAGACATGTGCTGTCCCTGCGCCTGTATCCATGGTGAGCGAGCATTTGTTCGAGACCTTCAATGCCAGTCAAGGAAAGCGGGCGCTTAAGCTTCGATTGGAGAGGACTCGTGCGCTGGTTGTTCTAGCGCAAGAAATAGGACACTATGACTGGGAATGCGAAGCACTCAGTACATGGGCTAGCTCCCGCAAGTGGCAGATGATGGTTATTCCTGGGAGGCCTACTGATGGACATCTCCCGTCAGGCGGATTAGCTATTTTCGCAAGGGAAGGCGTGGGGTTACGAGGCCCTGAGTATCCTGCATCTACGGCGGCTCGAAGACAAAGCGAGACGAATGAGCAGATTGCCTTCGGGTCTGAGCTGGTAGCCCATCGAGCGCAGCACGCGCTCGTGGAGTTGGAAGGATGGCCACCACTCAACGTCTTCAACATTTAGCTGCACACGGCCGAGGGCATGACGACGAGGAATGCCAGGATCCTCATGAACGTAGGGCTCGCTATGGCAGGACAACAGTACCCATGCGTGGTAGGAGGCGATTGGAATATGTCGATCGAGGAGGTTGAGGCATCGGGTTTCCCAGTGCATGCACAAGTCGGACTTGTCAGCCCAGGCCAGGTCACATGCAGGGGACCGACCAGCGCAACAACGATTGATTTCGTTGCCCTAAGTTCTGGAGCCATGAGGCTCATGAGGGAATGCCAGGTGGACAAGACATGGCATAAGAAACCGCACCGACCTGTCCAGCTATCGCTATGTGGCCAAGGAACGACAATGCAATACCTTACATACGTTGGAGGGACCAAGATTGCACCTGACATAGTTGTGGGCCCATTGTGGTACGACGCCGACTGGGAGTTCGAGCGGAGCTATGCTGCAGAAGCGTCCCGCCAAGCAGCGGTTGCTCCAGTAGCAGTGGCGTGGAAGGTACTATCACGAGCTTGGGGCTTCTGGGCGTGCAAGGCTGCAGTAAGGCTTGGCCACATCACGGGCACGTTCATCAAGGCACCAGAGCACTTCAAGGGTATGGTCCGACCCAAGTGGATATCTTATGCATATGAGGGACAAGACGCTGAAGGTATCCAGGCAGTCGCTGATGGATGGCAATGGTTTGCAGATGCAGTCAGAGGGATCGCTATGCTCAAGAACGGCAGAGGCCAAGAGCAAGAAAGGCAACTCGCTGATGAAATCCAAGGCTTCCTGGAGACCGATTATGTGGGCCAAAATGTTAATCATCGTCTAGACGCTTCTGTCACACGAGCAAGACGGTTGATTGGCCATGCCTCAACATCCAGCGAATATCTACATGAATTTCTTGCTGAATGCGAAGAAGATATTGAGTATGCGAAGCAGCAGGCAGACCGAGACAGTGCTGCTCGCTGGAAGGACTGGTGCGATATTGCATGTGCGGGAGGCGCTGGGCGATTCCATCGTGCAACCAAGATCAACAGTGTGCAGGCGCCAACGGTAGTATGCAAGGCCACCACAGACGGCATGAGCGGACACCCTCACCAGATTGTCTTGGACATGGAAGCCAAGCACCACAAACTCTGGCAGGCGACTGAGGAGGCACCGCACGTCTGGGTACCTGATCGCAGCACCATGGATAGACCTAGTCCAGGCATGATCAGAGCAGCGTCGAAGGAGTTCACCACGAAGACCTCGAGCAGCCTGGACGGCATCCACCCGTCGCACTTTCAGCACCTGAGCGATGAGTCTCTGGAGGGCCTCTGCGACATCTTCCAGGCGGTGGAGGCGATCGGAGTTTTTCCCATTCAACTGACGTGGATGGTGATGCCGATGTTGCCCAAAGCTGCTGGAGGACACAGGTTGATCATTCTGTACTCGGCGGCTTACAGAGTATGGCAAAAGATGAGAATACCTGGACTCGACATGATCCAGCAGAGATTGAACCGCAATTACTGGGGAGCGGCATCGGGGAGAAGCGCAGTTGACAGTGCGTGGATCCTTGCAGCGGACAACGAGCATAATGTATGTCAGAACAGGCTCGTGGTCACGATTGTCGCAGACTATAGCAAGTATTACGAGACGATCGGATTGGACCAGGCGCGCGACAAATTCATGCGCCTAGGCATGCCAGTCCCAATGGTCAAGGTGGTATACAATCAATGGGAGGGGCCAAGGATCATACGACTGCGACTCCACCACGGAGGAGCACCAAGGCATGCGAACGCAGGGCTTCCAGCAGGTGATGCGTATGCAGACGTGGTGATAAAGGCTCACGCCGTCGAACAGTACGACATGTACACGACTTTACATCCGCTGGTGCGTTTCGCTTCCTACATTGATGGCACAGCGCTTGGCGTCAACAGCAATTGCAAGCAGAGGGTGATTGACCAGGCGGTGGATGCTACAAAAGGCTTCTTCAAGGTTGCACGGGCATTAGGGGCCAGCATCAACGAGAAGCTTGCCATCATTGCGAGCACCAAAGCCATAAGTGATGAAGTCAGTCGCCGACTTCACCTTGATTTGAAGATCAGCTTGAAGAGTACGGCGTATCTGGGCACCGACGTTTCTGGAGGCAGGGCTCGGAATGTCAAAGGTACGCGCGGGAAGTTTCGGGCAAGACAGAATGCGTATGGCAGAAGGCTGAGGAAGCTACGGAAGTTCAAGAAGGTGCTCGCTGGCAAAAAGACGGAGAGAATTGGGAAGATCTACCGTGTTGGTGCGAGGCCTGCATACACGTTCGGGGTGGAGGTCAACGGGGTCAACGACGTGGAGCTACTGCAGTTAAGGCGGGAGTACAACAAGCACGTTAAGCCCAACCACGGCGGCACCTCCGCGAGCGCGAAGCTGGTGCTGCTAGGCGACCCCGCTGCCACCCAAGCACTGGCTCCTGCCCTCCAATGGTCAAGGATGGTATGGGCCGCCACAGCCAGGCCTGATACCGCAGCTGTTCCACTTGAATTGCTGGAAGCTTGGTGGAGAAGGGCAGTTACCGAACCTGGAGAAGTCAAGCAGTGGAGTAAAACACGTGGTCCCCTTCAGCGTGCAGCACTCTCAGTACAACGAGCTGGGTGGCAAACGCGTACAGGGTGCCTCTGGATCAACCATCGAGGCGATGAGGTGCATGTGGGGCAACTCACCCCTGGCCTTCTTGAAATGATGTTGAGGCAAGGCCTAGCAGTGCAGCATGAGAAGGCACTTGCGGGGAAGTGGGACATGCAGCCTTACACACGAGTCACCTTCGATATCTTTCGGCGACACGTCAAGTCCAGGAAGTTCAACAAATACCAGACATTCTGTATCATGAACTGCGCATGTGATGGAGTATGGACACGTCAAAAAGCGAAGGAGAAAGGATACCTAACGGACGGCAAGTGCGAGTGTGGGGACGAGGACACTCTGGTGCATAGGCTGGCGGAGTGCACTCGTCCAGAAGTCGTGGAAGCACGACATGAAGCTGGAATCCCCGAGTCGTTCCTTCAGGAGCTACGCCAAGCGCCAGATGATCGCGTCGTCACCCAAGGGGCTTTCGCATATCCTGAGTGGGAAATTCCTGAAATGCAACTAGGCACTGGCAGCGTGATTCTCGACGGTGATGGCAACGATTTCGATTGCACGCCCGAGACCATGGCCGCGACAGTGCTGGCTGAGACGGATTTGGAGATGGAGCTTTCTTTCGACGGGGGCTGCACGAAGCCAGATATCCTGGAGCTACAACGCGCTGGATGGGCTATCGCTTTAATGGATCCACATTCGGACAAAGTACTATGTACGATGCACGCACCAGTGCCAGCTTCGCTTCCGCAATCCTCGGCGATGGCAGAGTATTTAGCCTACGCGTACACAGGACAGGCGGCAGACCGACCTACCAACGGATACGCGGACTTCATGGGCACGGTCAGACTGGCGGCCCTCACGCACGAGCAGCAGTTACGGTCCAAGTCGGCATACGCGTGCGTGGCCATGTTTGCTCAGAGCCTTCCTGGATCCCATTTCCTCCGCAGCGTGACGCACGTGAAGGCACACCGTTCGGGAGCGGAGTATGCTGGCCTGGATGTGGCCACAAGGAGGATCACAGATGCCAATGTCTATGCGGACGTTCGAGCCAAAGCTGGTGCGGCGATGCATGCAACCATCAGCGAGGATTTCGCGATGGCTATCGACACGGCCACTGTGAGGATCAAACATTTCGCGCAGTTGGTAGCGGCCGTGCTACCCTTGTTTGATCGTGATGGGCAAGAGCGATGGACAAGGCGAGCTGCCCAAGTCAAGAGGGTAAGGAGTACGCGCACCGATGGATGGCACCAGTGGGAGGAAGGAAGTTTCGGTCTTCAATGCAAGGCGTGCTTGAAGCTCAACAGCCCAGGGATGGAAGTTATGCTCAATGGCTGCGCTGGCACCCCTACCTTCCTCAAGGCTTTCCTCAACCAACCACTCGGACATCACCTCGTGGCGGTGAACCAGAAGGGTGACGGGCTCAGCGACGACGCGGTGCCCACGGTCTTTGTCTGCGTAGGCTGCGGTGCATGGGCACAACAACGTCGACGGCAGAAACTCCGAAGGCAGTGCAAGCCACCAACCAGACAAGGCATAGAAGTTCTGACGAATCTACGGCGGGGCTTAGGCCCACACAAGACGCTGGCGAGGCACATGGACTTGACGATCCCCCTGTGCAAGCTCATGCCCATGACCCTGCCCCCGCTGGTCTCGAAGACCTGTGTCAGCCGACCTGTGGCGCTGGCGGAGGTCACGGGGTACGAGCACAAGATGGCAGCAATGATGGAAAGGATAAAGGCAAAGGAAAAGGCAAAGCGCGAGCAGGACGATGACAACAACACGATACTCGGACGCACGCGACATGGAGATCCTCAACAAGGGGGTAGTGTATGCATGGGAACGGGGGCGCCCACTGAGTCCTTGGCGGCCAGCGCGCCCGGGGCACATCAGTGTCGCCAAGTCAATGGAATGCCCCCCGTGGTACAACAGCATGGCGATCACCTACCCGCAGCCGCTGAAGACGGAGTCGGTGATGATGACGGTGCACGCTGCAGCCAAGACGGAAAGGAGGCAGGAGCAGGGCCTCATCCGAGCAGCGAAGGTGGAAAGGAGGCAGGAGCAGGGCCTCAACCACATGACGGAGACGTCGGTCTCGCCAGGGACCGCGTCGGAAAGGGGGCAGGAGCAGGGCCCCAGCCGAGCGGTCGCGGCGGAAAGGAGGCGGGAGCAGGGCCTCAACCGCATGATGGAGGTGCGCAGCAGAGAGGACGAGCAAGGCAGCCAAGTCTCTGGGCACTTTTTCAGGCTGCATCGGGACGACGAACTGAGAGCGGGCAGAAGGACCATGGGCCGAATCCCATGGGAAGGGCAAGCGGGGATCTCGAGAAGCAGACGTTGAAGGCAATCATGGGCGCCCAGGCGCTCAGCGGCAACCACAGCGGGAAACATGCTGCTCGAGACCGCGCAGAGAACGCGGGCAGCCTCCGAGGCCAGGAAGCGGCTGCGGTGGCAAGCACTACGGGGAGTTCTTCGAGAAGAAGAGCCGAGCCAATAGGCATGGCGGCGCCCAGCCAGGGGCAGCGTGGTCGGAGAGCTGCGTCTGAGGGCGCACTCCAGGGAGCTAATGGCGTAACGAGGTGGGGTACTACGTGGAGTACAGCCTGCACAGCGCCTGTGGCCCTGGATGTGTCTCCCAGGGGCGGCGCGGAGGCGGCTGGGGTGATCCACCCTAGCCGCCTTTCCCCTGCGCGGCGAGGGGTTAGGCCGCAGCGGATGGCGGCAGCGCCCGACACGTTACAGGGCGTTGCCGATGCTACGACGAGGGGCGCTATGAGGAGTACTCCCTGCACAGAGCCTGTGGCCCTGGATGTGTCTCCCAGGGGCGGCGTGCGGGGTACTGCGCGGAGTACGGCCTGCACAGCGCCTGTGGCCCTGGATGTTTCCCCCAGGGGCGGCGCGGAGACTGCTGGGGCGCTCTGCCCACACCGCGTGTCCCCTGCGCGGCGAGGGGTTAGGCCGCGGTGGCGCATGGCAGCGCCCCACGAGTCACAGGGAGATGCTGGCGTCGCGACGCGGGGCACTACGCGGAGCAATCCCTGTGCAGCGCCAGTGGCCCTGGACGTGTCAACCAGGGGCGGCGCGGAGGCGGCTGGGGCGACCCGCCCTAGCCGCCTTTCCCCTGCGCGGCGAGGGGTTAGGCCGCAGCGGATGTGGGCAGCACCTGTCGAGACGCAGGGAGCTGCTGACGCTCATACGAGGGGTACTACGTGGAGTACCTCCTGCACGGCGCCTGTGGCCCTGGAGGTGCCTCCCAGGGGCGGCGCGGAGGCGGCGGCGGCCGGGGCGAGCCGCCCCAGCCGCGCTACCCCCTGCGCGGCGAGGGGTTAGGCCGCAGCGGCTCTGGCAGCGCCCGACGAGCCGCAGGCGCTGAGTGCCGCGCTGAGTGCCCGCGGCCGCGGGCGCTCGTGCGCGGCGGCCCCCGAGGGGGCGACCCGCGTCCGCGGGCGTGTCATCATCATCCTCCTCCTCCTCCTCCTCCCTTTCCTCCTCCCCCTCCTCCTTCCCCTCCTCCTCCCCCCTCTCCCCCTCGCTCTCGTGGCCGAGGCTCGCCGCGGCCAGAAGACCAAAAGACAGGCAATCTTCGGGCCCTGCAGCGGAGACCGATGCCCATGAGACACGCCCTGCTCGCCTCCAGGGCGCCCCGGGCTTCTCGGGCTTCGACGGCTTTGCCACGGGGGGGGCGTGCCGTTCCCGCACCCAAGAAATCAGTGGGCGTGCTGGGGTCTCGGGGTTGGGCTTCTCGTGGAAGGCTTCTTGTGGTCGGGCCCCTACTGTATCTGGCCATCATGTTGGAAACGCGATGGCTGTGCGGTCGGCGCGCGTTGCTCTGGCGGCGTGCCGGAAGCTCGAGAAATTAGGAGAGCGACTGCAGACCCGATTTGCCCCAGAATTTCTGTTTCGCCGAATCTCGACGGATAGATCAAGAAATGAATAGAACAGCCCTGGAGGTCGTTCTGGCTTCCGTGAAACATTCCATGACAAATTTGTCCCGCCTCGCAGCGTGTTCCGGCAGGCCTTTTCTAAGCGTTTCCCAATACGCGTGCTTGGAAGCTCTCCAGAAGGTCCTTCGGAAGCTTTTTCCGGCTTCGGCAGGCCTTTCCACACCCTTCTGGCGCCCTGCTATCTGGGCTTCGGATCCCCTCCAGGGCCGCCAGCCTCCCCAGGGGGCCGGGCTCTCGCCGTGTCCCCGTTTGCGCGCCGCCAACGTTAAGAATTTCCTCCCCCTCCTCGTCCTCCTCCTCGTCCTCCTCCTCCTCCTCGTCCTCCTCCTCCTCCTCCTCCTCATTCTCCCTCCGCCTCCACCTCATTCTCCCTCTTCCTCCTCCTCCGCATCATTCTCTCTCCTCCTCATTCTCTCTCCTCCTCCACCTCATTCTATCTCCTCCTCCTCCTCCTCCAACTCCTCCACCTCATTCTCTCCTCCTCCTCCTCCTCCTCCTCCTCCCTCCTCCTCCTCCCTCCTCCTCCTCCTCCTCCTCCTCCCCCTCCTCCTCCTCCTCCTGCTCCCCCTCCTTCTCTTCCTCCCCCCCACTCCTCCTCCTCCTCCTCCTCCTCCTCCTCCTCCTCCTCCTCCTCCTCCTCCTCCTCCTCCTCCTCCTCCTCCTCTTCCTGCTGCTGCTGCTCCTCCTCCTCCTGTCCTCCCCTCTTCCTCCTCCAACTCCGCCTCCTCCTGCTCCTCCTCCTTCTGCCTGCTCCTCCTTCTTCTGCTGCTGCTCCTCCTCCTCCTCCTCCTCCCTCCTCCCTCCTCCCTCCTCCCTCCTCCTTCCTCCCTCCTCCACCTCATTCTATCTCCTCCTCTTCCTCCTCCTCCTCCTCCTCCTCCTCCTCCTCCTCATCCTGGACATCGCAGGCGATGTTTCTCCCCCATCCCCCCGATTTCTCGACGCGAGAAACCGCCAGGCTCCACCCCCCCGACTTTGTCGACAACTCCAACCCCCGGCGTTTCAGCTCTCCCCCCAATCCCCGGCTGCTCCAGTTCCCGACTCTTCGGCGACAGATGGAGCCGCTCAGAAAAAGGGTGGGGGAAGCCTCGGGATACACCCCAAGGGAGCTATTCGGACGCACCCCTATCGAGGACGAGCGCACCCCCTGTCGTATGTCCCAGGTTGGGCCCCAGATTCCGGGTCTAGTGGAAATCCCCCCGAAAAGCCTGCGATAGGGAGCGACATATCCCCTGCTAGGACAGCGCGCACTCAGTAGGCCGAGCCCTGCAAGACCACGGGCGCCCTTTTGCGCTCTCCGAGTGCACGTCCGCGGCCTCTTCGTGCCCTGTTGTCCGCTCCCGCGCCCTGCCGCACCACTCGGGAGGGGTATCAGTGCTTGCCGCGGGCGCCCTGCCGCGTGCAGGCGGACGGCTGCTCGCACAGGCCTTTTCGTATGACTTCCTCGCGTTTTGTGTGCTTTGTGTGCCCATGTGGAAGGGGCGCGTTCAGCGGTTGGCCAGGCCAACACTAGCGCGTACACACATACACATATATGTATATACACATACATACACACATATATATGTGTATGTGTGTTTACTTGTGTAAATATATGTGTATATATACACACGCTTCGCGGTCTTTGGTCGGAGAGTTGCCCTTCTCCAGGGGACAGCGTCAGACCGCGAAGACAAGCGCACCCTATAGTCCTCGCAGTTCGGAGAGCATACGCATAGAACACCTAGCTGGCGCGCTCTGAATATATTTGTGTGTGTATGCAGCGCCGTTGCAAAGCGACCTGGAAGTGGCGCTGCCGTGCTCGAAGTGAGGTACTCCGTTAGGAGTTGCCAGCCACGGGGCGTTCTGGAGCCTCCTTCGCCACACCATCCCCGTCGCCCATCTCCTCCTTCAGTTCTTCATATTCCGCCTCACCTTCCTTCTCTCTCCTCGGGCTCTTCACTCTACTCCTCCTCTTTCATCACCGTGTCCTCTCGCCATTCGGAGCCCCTCTCTTGCTTATGCTAATCCAGCTGCTGCCCCTCCTTCTGCTCTTGCTTATCATGCTCTTCCATCTGGAGCATTGGTTTATCAAACTCCAAACCTGCATCTTGTTTGGCCTCCTGGCAGAGGGTGCGCGTCGATTCGCTGCTCTTCCGTTCCTCTCTCAGCCACCACAACCCATAAACACACACGCCCTAGTTGACCGCCCCTTGGCCTCAGGGGAGGGTGGCTGTGTGCAGATCACCGCTAGTAGCCAGCGGTTCAATACACGACCACCCACCAGGAAATCTCGTCGGCGGGTGGAACGTCGTGGCGTGTCCTCTTCCACCTCCTTCCCGCTTCCTCTCCATCCTGCCTCCTTCAAAGTGCTCCTTCTTCGCATCCGGTCCTTGACCTCTCCTTGAACAAAAAAAAAAAAAATCTCCTCGCCTCCTGCGCCCCGACTGTCTCTGCAGTGTCTCGACCAGGAGGCTCCCCCCGCGGCCCCGCGGCGGGCGCCCTGTGCAGGCGCCTGTCCAGGTGGCCCTCGATGGGGGCGGGCGAGGTTCTCTTGCAGGGCCTTCGGGCCGCGCGCTGCGAGCGGCTCGTTGGCCAGCCCCTCACTCATCATCCTGGGGCCGCCCGCGCCGGCCCGAACGGGGCAATGCGCGGGGCCGGCCTGTCCCAGCGTCTGCCTGGGGCTGGTGGTGGGCGGGGGCAGCGGGGTTGTGCACCTGCTGCCCTTCTCGGTTGTGGCGTTCCTTGGCTTCACAGCCTCTGCAGCCTCTGCGGCGGCTGTTGCACCAGGGCCCCGGCGGCCCATTCGTGGGGGCGGCTGCCCTTCGCCCGCGCGCGCGAAGCGATCGGGGCCCCTGCGGGGACGGTCTCGGCGCGCGGCGCGCCCTGGTCTACTGTCCAGGGGTGGACTGAGGGTTGCGCTCGGGCCCTGGCTCGGCCAGCCGCGCACCTGGGATAGTCCCCTTAGGAGGCCCGCGTGGCCTTCTACGCGTGCCGTCGGGCATGGCTGCCGCTTCCACTCCAGCTGGAGAGAAGCGGATAACGTCCCCCAGGTGCCCGTATGGCCCGACTCTTGTCCGTTCGGGATGCTTGTGGCCAGCAGGCATGGGCGTTGGCGCTGGACGACGGCGAGGTAGGCTACACCGCGATCCTCTTAGCCTCCCGGCCTGGGGGTAACTTGCTGGCACCGCCCTCAGCGGTCTGCTCGGTCGAGGACCTCAGCCATGAGGAGGCCGATGGGTTCCAAGGGTTGACCAGCCCCTGCCAGGTGGTCGAGCTGCCCCTGCTCGGCGGGGCGTCCCGCCCGCTGAGTACCGCCGCCTCCGTGCTGGTGATCGACCTATAGAGGTCGCGGAGATGGGTGCCGGAAGCTCTGTGCCCGCTGGCCGACCGGGACGCCGCGAGGGTGGTGCTTTGCGGGGCCTCCCGCGGCCGCTCCTACTGGCCGCGCTCCTCGGGGGTCCGTACCCTGCGCGATCGCTACCACTGCGATCAAGGTTGTATAATCAAATCCAGCTCGTTTAATTTGTTGTCTAAGAATTATTATAGGTGTCGCGATCCACGCGAATGCAGGAGCGTCTCTCGCGAACGCAGCAAAGCCAGATCCTCGAAGTGTTCTCCGGGTCGCTGGCGCGGCGGGGGCCCTCGCCACCGACGCCCCCCTCGCAAAAGCCGAAGACCCCCACTGGCCCGGCCAGTGGGGGCGCGAGAGGGGGGGGGGCAGCGCAGTGCGAGCGTTCCCAGGCCCGCCCTTGCCCCGTGCCCCCACTGGGGCGGGCGCCGGCGCATGCGCGCGGCTCTGGGTCCCTTGAGGCGCAGCGGGGGACAGGGCGAGCATGGCTAGGCGCTCTGCTGCACGAGCCGGTGACAGATCATTTACAAGCTCGGGAAGCATTCGCCTAGACCGCTCAGCAGTCCCGCTTGAGAAGCGCGCTCGAGCTTAAACTGCCATGGGCGCGTTGCTCGTTGCGCCGTGCAAGTGACCGATGCCGGTCTTCGCACCCCCTTCGGCCTGAGGGACCCCCACGCGCGCCGCCTCGTCGGCGAAGAGCTGTAGCATTCCGGCGCGGGGCCCGCGCGGGTCCGTGGGTGCGGCCATAGGATTAAGTCGGGCGTGTCCCTCTACAGGAGGAGTAGTCAAAACTAGTCAAAAAAAATCGGGGAATGATGTTTGGAGTAGTATCATGTTCTATGAGTTATTTTTTTACAAAAAAACAATGGTTGTCCTCCAAAATCTCCCTGTAGGTGGACATGCCCGACCTGATCATAGGACCTTCATCTGGACCTGGGAACGGGTCGTCGGCGCCCCCTCGTCGAAGGCACCTGCAGGGGCGCCCGCAACCCTCGGGCGGGCCTCGGTGCTCGCCGTCTTCGGGAAGGCGGCCAGCCCTCCCCCTCAGGGGCGGTGGAGGCATCGCGGCAAGAGGGTGGCCCCGCAGAGGACGAGGCGGCGAAGCGCATCGCCCTCGGCGTCTGAGGCCTCCCCCTCTTCCTCCGCCGCTCCCTCGCCCGCCGAGTCGGTCGTGGTGCTGATCGGGCTGGAGAGGCGGGGCGCGTCGAAGCAGACTGGTGCACGGACGAGGAGGAAAGGCCGAGCGAAGCGAGAAGGAGAAACGAAAGAAAAACACATTCTCTCGTTGATCGTTTTCTGATTCCTTGTTTTGCCGATCGGCGCGGGCCCTCGCCCCCCCCCCCAACGGAGTAGATCTTGGCCGTTTTTGGCACCTGCCTCCAGCAGGCGGAGACCCTCCCCCAGAGGACGCACTGCTGCAGACAGTCGCGCTATGAGCAGAGGCCCGGAGCCAGACCCCCCCCCCTCCCCCACTCGGGTGTTGCCAGAAGTGCCACTGGCCCAAAATGCCCCCAGCTTTTCGCTCCACTTTGGAGCCCCTGGGGCCCTCTGGGCCCCGCGAGGGGTGCCCTGGAGGCCGTCTGGGCCACCCCGAGAATCCTGCAGGTACCTTGGGCCAGGGGCACTTCCAGCAACACCCGCCCCCCCCCCGCCGCCCCCCTCCGCCCATCGTCGAAGCGCCGCTTAAGAAAGCGCTACCGCGTCCGCTGAGTGGTCGAGGGCCGCCCGCTCCGCACACGTGGGATCGGCCTCGCCCCTTCGCCGACGGGGCCCGCGCGGGTCCCATCGTGCCATGCCGGGCCTCCCGCCACGCGGGAGCGCGCCACGCGGCCGCCCGCGCGGAGACGGCTCGCAAGCGCCCGTGCGGGAGAGACGCCAATCTTAGGTCGGGCATGGCCTCCTACCGGCGGGTCTGGACGATTTGTTATACAAAGAAAAATTCGAAGCAAGTTCAAAAATAGCCCAAAGACGTCACCATATTATTTTTTCAACCAGTTTTGAATGTTCCTCCTGCGGAGGGACACGCCCGACTTGGTGCCAGTTTTTTCTTCCTCCGCCTCCTCCTCCTGCTCCCCCGGGAGGTCTCCGCAGGTCTCCCCGCGGTCTCCGGAGGTCCCCGCTGGGGGTCCCCTCGTGGAAGTCTTCGGAGGCCCGGAAGCGGACAGACCTCCCCGGAGCGGGGCCCGAGAGGCGCGGCTCAGTGCAGGCAGTGGGTCAGCCAGAGCGCCCGATCTTGCGGGATCCTGCAGGGCCAGGGTCGCACTGACCCGGGTCTGGGCGCAGGCGCCTGCAGGATCTTGCAGGCTCCTTCGCGTTGACCCGGGTTGGGTGCAGGATCTTGCAGGATTCTGCAAGGCCTGACTGACCAGTGTCTGGATTGACCCGGGTCAGAAGACCCCCGACCCAGATTAAAAAAACATGACATCGAACATTTGCTCTTCTTCATTCGGGGAAGACCTTACGCAAGCTGGTCGCGTAAGCCTCGAAAGCCTCTCTGTTTCCGAGCGCCTCGTTCGCATTCCGCCGAGGAAGACCAGCTGAGGGCGCGCATCGAATCGCTGAACGCTGGCGGACAGCTGCAGCTGCCGCTGGAGTTCGAGGGCAATGTCCGCGATCTGCTGATGAAGGTCGAGGCCAGCAAGGCCATGTCCGTGCTGAACCGCCTGGGGGACATCGCCAGAGAGGTTCGGAGACAGGGGTTCGAGGTTTTTGGGCGTCGTTGTTTTGTTCTCGGGGCCCCTGGCGGCCTCCAGGCCACAGCCCCGCAGGTTTCGGGAGACCTGCCGGGGGCCGGGCGTCGCGACCAAGCACGACGGACAGTTTCGATCCACATGTCGGGCCCAGGGACCTGCTCAGTCCGATCTGTCCAGAGGAGTGCTGCAGAAAACAGTGTCTACCAGCGTGGGCCTCAAACAGCGCGCTATCGCACTCAGGACACGAAGCGTGGCGCAATCTTTGTGGCGCAAACTACGTGGTACACTTTTCTTTGTCGCAAGCTACGTGGTGCAAGCTATGAGGCGCAAGCCACGTCATGCAGCCTATGTGGCGCATGCTATGTGGCGCAATATGTATGATGCAAGCTGTGTGATGCAATCGACATGGTGTATTGTGAGCATTGGGGGGGTCTGGGACCGTCGCGTATCTGATGTCAGGTTACCAGCCGAGTACTTCGCTGGAGCGGCAACAAAGTAATCTGACAGACGAGGGCGTCCACACGTCGCGATGGGGTATAAGCGTTACCCAAGCAGCTCCTGGCCGTGGTGAGCTGCTTGCCGAAGCAATCGCATGCCTTGAAATTGCCGCACCCGGCTTGCCAGGGCCCCCACGGTGGGCGGCCAGGATGCGAACCCCCCCGGGACTTACTTTGAGTCGGGCCTGTCCCTGCACAGGGGGAACATTCAATCATTTTTGAATATGTTTTAAACATTTTTGGTGTATTTACTATTTTTCGTCCAAAGTGCCCCTGTAGGGTGACATGCTCGACCTAACTCACGGGGGCTTCAAATGGCGTCCTGCTGGGGACACGTGCCGAGGGCTTGGGGCGCCCCTTGCGACGCCGTGCGTGCCTGGCGACGTTGGCTTTTCACCCAGGCCACGAGAGCATCAGGAGGGGACAAACAAAAACAAGCAGACACCATTAATCGTCGATCCCCCCGAAAATCTGGGAAAACATGGGAAGTGTGGGGGGGGGGAAGACAAACACCCAGAACATATGGGAACATTTAGTTGCGTCTATTCATGTCTATTTATGTCTATATTTTTATGTGTGTCTATTTATTTGTGTCTATTTATGTGTCTATTTTATTGTGTCTGGGGAACCTCGTTCTCTGTGGCTATTGATTTGCGTGTCCCAGGGCCCCTTCGAAGCACACCGCCGCCTCGATACGCCTCGGGCGCCCGCGGGCGGCAGATCAGCGCCTTCGGCCCCCAGCTCGCTTCATGCCCGCCAGGTTCAAGTCGGGCATGCCCCTCTACAGAAGGAAAATCCAGAACATAGTTTTAAAAGGGGACGATGTTTGAAAATCGTATTTGTTTTAAAAGGGGACGATGTTTTAAAAGGGGACGATGTTTTAAAAGGGGACGATGTTTGATTGTATTTGTTTCATTTTTGAATATGTCTGAAACATGTTTAATTTGTCCTTCGAAAGCCGCCTGCAGGGGGACATGCCCGACATAGCGCCAGGGGCAGGGGGTGAGGAGAAGGGGGTCCGGCGCAGGTGGAGACCTGCTGTTTGCGGGGCGTCTCGAAGCTACGTCCCCAGACCCCCCCGACGCCATGTTTTTTTTTTCTCTCCCCCCCCCCCCCCCACCCCACGTCGACCCCCAGAGGTCTGGACTCCTTCCCCGGAGCCGCTTTTTATCCTGAATCGTTTTTTGACGGCCCCGAGGCCCGGCAAGGGCCCCCAGAGGCCGCACACAGTGAAACACCTCCCGCCATGATTTTTGTCATGACCCGAGGGGGTCCTGGTCTGATGGCGTGCTCTCTCCCCCTCGATAGGTGCGCGACCCCACCGGCTTCGTCGTGGCCACCGTCGGGAGGATGTGCAAGCGCACGAGGAGAGGCAGCTGAGGGCGCCTGGGCGCCGAGCAGCTGTCGGCGCCGAGCAGCTATTGGCAGCTACTGGCGCCGAACAGCTATTAGCTTGGAAAAAACGCGTTGGGAGGAGGAGGAGGTACCCATACCGCTGCCCGTCCCTCGTTTTCCCTCTTCGGGGCCTCCTGCGGGGCCCCCCTCGCCACCGCTGGACTCGCTTCGAAATTCCTGTCAGAACGCACCCCGGGAGAGGTCCGAGGAGTAGCGGGATCGGTACCTGTTGGTTCTTCCAGTGCCGCCCTCGAACGTTCCCTCGGAGGCTCTCGACACCAGGTGCTGCGCTCCAGTGCAGTGGTCGGGCCACCGATCTGGTCGTTTGGGAGCCACCAGCCCGTTCTGTCAGCCTCTGCTACCTTCCTGTAAGCCTGCCTGACTGTTAGCGCAGTCAACCTGGACGAACCTACATTGCGTTTCGAGCCGGAGGCCCAGCTCCCAGGCCGTGCTCGTCTTTGTCACTCGTCCGATCGACCCTGGGGAGCCCCCGACCCCAGCCACGGGGCGGTGTCCGATATCACCTGACGCTGTGCTGTTTTGTTTACTCCCGTCCGCGGCCCCAGAGGCTCCAGCCCCCTCTTCCCAGGGGGACCGTCTTTCCTCCTGGCTCCGTTCTCTTCATGGCCCGAGGGCCGCCAGACCCCATCCACGGGGCGGTGTCTTCTATCGCTCGACGCTGCGCTGCTCTGTTTGCTCCCGTTCGCGGCCCCAAAGGGCTCCAGCCCCCCCTTTGCCCAGGGGGACCGTCTTGCCTCCCGGCTCCGTTCTTGTTGATGATGGCCCGGAGGGCCCCCGACCCCATCCACGGGGCGGTGTCTTCTATCGCTCGACGCTGCGCTGCTCTGTTTACTCCAGTCCGCGGCCCCAAGGGCTGGGGCGACGAGATCTATGCATATCCACTGCTCCTGGCCAGGCCCATCCTGGGCCCAGGAGCGGTGTATATGCCTCCCTGGCCAAGCCAGGAGGGCGTATACACAGCTCTTGGGCCCAGGATTGGCCTGGCCGGGAGCAGTGGATATGTATAGATATCGTCGCCCCAAAGGGCTCCAGCCCCCCCCTCTGCCCAGGGGGACCGCCCTGCCTCCCGGCTCCGTTCTTGTTGACGATGGCCCCGGGGGGCCCCGTGGCAGCGGCAAAGACGGGCTTCGGAGAGGCCGAGGGTCGAGGAGGGGCGCCGGGACTGGCAAAAACACACACGTCGTGCCGCCGGAGACCTGAGCGACCCACAGAAAACGGGGAGTAGCAGGAGGAGGAGGAGGAGGAGGAGGAGGAGGAGGAGGAGGGGGAGGAGGAGGAGGGAGGATGGGGGGAGGAGTAGCGGAGAAGGAGGAGCAGGAGGAGTAGGAGACATTATGAGTGGATGAGCAGTAGTTCGGAGGTTGAGACGGAGTGGGAGGATAATTAGGAGGAGTGGAGAACACGTATTATTGCTTAAGTGTCGTTTTATGATGCTATTGATTGATGAGTAATTTAGGTAATTAGTATTAGATTGTCGGAGGATAACACGAAGACGAGGACGAAGTAGGAATGCTCGGCACCTGCCCCCAGGTTGCAGATGCTACTTGGGCTGATGTCGCTCGTGGTCTGCTCCTTTTTTTGGGGGGGAGACCAACAGGTACGTACCAAGGTCGTCTTCGCCGACATTGGCGCGTGAGCTGCCTTTGCAAGGCCGCGCGAGGCGCCCTCGTCTCCAGTCGAGCGTGCCGCGCTGGCGGCCCACGTGAGCCGCCGCGTCAGGTCGCCGTGGCATCTCGTGCGGGACCCGTTCTTCCTCGTCGCCCGCAGACCCCCCGACGTCGTGATCTTGTCACATCGTCGACCCCCAGAGGTCTGGACCCCTCCCCCCGAGGACCAGTTTTTCATCCCGAGTCGTTTCTGGACGGTCCCGAGGCCCGGTGAGGAGGCCGAAAATAACCAAAAACATAAGCAACCTGCCGCCGTGATTTTGTTCCCAACGCGAGGGGGCCTGGGCCCCCCTGGGGATCCTCACCGCGGACCGCCGCCCGATATCGTGGGCCCAGAGCCGGCCCGGCGGCGGCCCGCCCCGGCGCGCGAGACCGCGAGAGGATCGAGCACGACACGCGAGCTCGGAGGTCTCGGACCGCGGGCGGGGCCTGCCCGATGCCCGCGGGTCTCCCCCGTGGCCCGGCGCGGGGAGCCCCGGGCAGGAAGAACTGGTCGCGGCTCCGCCGCCTGATCCTCCGCCTCCTCCTCCTCCTCCTGCCCCTCCCCAGATCCCTCCTTCCCCCTTCACCCCTCGTCGTCGTCGTCGTCCTCCTCGTCCTCCTCCTCCTCCTCCTCCTCCTCCTCCTCCTCCTCCTCCTCATCTCCCTCCTCCTGCCCCTCCCCCGATCCCCCTTTCCCCCTCCCCCCCTCGTCGTCGTCCTCCTCCTCCTCCTCCTACTCCTCCTCCTCCTCCTCCTCCTCCTCCGTGATCTGCCCTACGTCTATCGATGATCCCCAGGACGCACAGCAGCCCGGAGTGTGCTTACGCTGTTCAGCCCCACCGATAGCACGCAGCCTGAGCTGTTTCTCGTCGCACCGCCTGTGACTTACTCAATGCATTCGCACGTTGGCGCCAGCACATGTTCCGAGGATCATCGAGTCTTTCGCTTCCTCCCTCGCTTCCTGCATCTCCGCCTCATCAGTCTCCCGTTCTTCAAGAATCCACCGCGACGTCTCAGGACCAGGCACGGCGAGCAAGCTAAGAATCGATAGAAGAACACTCGGCCGCTTAATTACAAAACGACGAGGCCCTGCGAGCCAGACGCCCTACCTCGGGACCTGGCAGCACCTCTTCCTGCGGACAGAGCCTTGGATAACCCTCCGCCCCCGCTGGCCACGCAGCCTTTGCTCCTGCGGCTTCCTCGGCTCCGTGCGTGGCAGACTGCCTCGGGGAGCCGCTGCCCCCCCCACCCCCCGACCTTTCCCGCCCCTCGCGAGAGACGACCTCTGCGGGCACTGTGCAGGGATGCGGGGGCCGCCCCGGTCACTCCCCGCCCAGCCGCTCCGCCGCCCCCCGCCCACCCTCCGACGTCCCAGGAATGGTTGTCTGGCACCGTTCAGGATTGCCAGGCGGCTGTCTTCCGCCCAGCCGCTCCACGCTGTAGTCCCGAAACGGTG